GCTCGATTGCCCGATTGAAATTCCGCCTGTCCGAATCTTGGACCCGCACGATGTACGCACGATAAGTCGTGCGTACAAAGAATGTGTGTGGTGTTGATGGTGCAACTTTTGCTGCTGCATAGTAACGATAAGACAAAATTGTTCACAAAACAGATTCAAGTTGGTTGGCTGAGTTATTAATGGCACGCATCATCAATGGGTAATTGCAAAACTGTCTATTGAAGACATGCTTGAAAAATTGCATTGGTCAGTTGATATATTGCTGTAAATTGACATGCATAGATATAAATGTATTGACGAGTGCACTCTACAAATTTACTATACAATATGATAAAAACTGTAATACTTTCATTGATGTACGCATTGATATGTGCATTGGTGTGTCCATTCATGTGTGCATTGGTGTGTGCATTCATGTGTGCATTGGTGTGTGCATTCATGTGTGCATTCATGTTGGTCATTTGCAGTTACGTTGAAATGTCAGTCAGTCACGTGCACTGAAGCCTGACATCACAATAGTAGATTTGGTTCTGCATAAGAGGAAGTTAAATTGAAACGCCACTTTAATTAAGCTTTTTATAAAACGTTCTCATTGCTTAAAATTTCACGTTTATTTTGATTTTTCTTCGTTCATCAACTTAATTAATGGAAATTACGTGGGAGTAAACAAATTTAAAATAATGCGACTTTTCAGATTATAAATTAAAAGTTATCCATAATGAGTTTTTTAATCTGGGTCAGCTCAAGAATGAAAGTGAATAAATGTTTTAGAAACTTAACCATCCGCTTTATTAACTTATCAACTTAATTTGATATTTTTTGAAGCAATAATTTTTGCATTAGTTAGCATGGTATGCAAATCGAACATTTTCTGTCAGTTTTGAACTATTTATGTAAAATTTAATTTTTTCAAGAAATGATGTTAAATGAATTGAAAGGCATTTTCAAAATAGCACATTTGCAATAGCACGAACACAACATTGAGTGAAAGATACTTCAACTACAAAAGCAGATAACGATACTCCGATATATTCAACTGATTTCTGGAAATATTAAAAAAAAATTTGATAAATGAAGTTAAAAATGTATATATTTGTGTCCTCTCATTCACGCATGCATAGCATACAATACAATAAATATATACGCTACTTTAAACTCATTTTTAAAATTATGGAACTAAATGTAGAACTATGACCAACCAAATTTGCATACAAACTTAAGCCTAAACTAAAGAAACACATACAAACACACGTCACACACACACATACACACATACATCCAGGTACACACATTTATACACAAACACACATATACATGCATACATAGATGCATAGATACAAACATTATAAACACTTGAGAGACAAAACCATGAAAAAACACGAAAATATTACATAACAACACAATTAACTTTCTGAAAAACTTTGCCATTTTATTTTCAATTTTTCATCCAATTATTATTCTTGAAATTAAAAAAAAACATTTTGTCTTTTAGAAAAATTTTTTCAAACGAAATGACATTAATTAAACGTTTTTCGACGTTTCTAGCGAAAGTAATTTTGAAAATGACTCAATTTCGACAGAACATATCAACTTTAAAATTAGAGTACCTCAAATTTCATAAATGAATATTAACCATATTATGAATCGTTATTAATTAGGCCGTTTTTATTATGTTACCGTATTTATAACTTTATTTATTTAGAAGCCTTATAAGAAAATATTTCATCTTCAATGAAATTGACAGAAATTGTCAGTTAAAAGTTGATTAGAAAATTTGAAGAATTGAGAAATTCATAAGCTAGTTAAAATTTTGAGATATGAAAAAGTATGCACCTAGTTTGGGTTTCGCATAAAAATGTAAAATGTAATAAATGAATGAATAAATGAATGAAATAATAAAGTCAGAATTAAACAAACAGCCAACATCCATAAAAGTGAACAACTTTATAAGAAGTCACCTAACTGACCAATCTCTTTAGTAAAATGGCAGCGGTCACTGGTAGATCAGTCGAACGAATTCCAGTATATTCAAATTTGATGTTTAGAACAACAGAAATAAAATACACCAGGCGAGTATGTGCGTATGCGTATGCGTGTGCCTTGCGTACAGGTAGAAGGGGTAACATTGGTAATTGAAGAGTGGGAATTGGAAATAATGATTGGAACATGCAAGAGCAGGTGTATGTGTGTGTGTGTGCGTGTGTGTTGTATGTGGGCGTGTTTGTGTGTTGTGTGTGTGTGTGAGTGTGTGCAATAAACTTATTGGATATGTTATTACAGTTTTTTGGCACGTACTAAAAATTTTTACTATTTTTTTTCATCAAAAACTTAATCTAATTTTTCTGGTAAAATGTTATTTGGTGACGAACTTTCCATTCCACCGAAGTAAATTATTGTAAATATTTGATGATGTGAGGTGATAGCTGCTGCAAAATGTTACTCAAAAATAATTTGTGACTTGGTGCAGAAGGCATCATGTCATTGTTATTTTAATAATCTTATTTCCATATTATTTTAATATAACAATAATAATAATAATTATTATTTAATAATAACGATAATTATCATAATTTTTCATCTCAATCGTGTATTTTTCATTACATGTTTTTGACATCTGACATCTCCCTTCACCAAGGCCATAATTATTCTTTTACATCGCTGACGTCAATTCAATATTCCTTTCTGCCGTGGATATTTTTTTCCGGATATGACGTCATTAATGACATCATTATTATCATTAATGACATGATAATAATAATTAACTAATATAATTTTTGTTATTGTTATTATTATTAGTTTCATTTTAATATTGTCATTGGCGTCGGTGTCTTCAAATCGCCATTCCCACCAATGATACCATGCGAATATTTACATCGGCCAGCACCGTCCAATTTCAACCTTCATCCGGTTTTTTTAACTTAACGATGGAATACATTTTGCTCGTTCTCATCAATTCTAGCAGTTATATTTCTAACACTAATAACAATGGATAATAAAGTTAAGTTTGCCGTACTAAACACACACAAACTCACATATTCACACGCGCAAACAAACACACACCTTGTCGTCATAACACAAACACACGTGCATTACATTACATTAACACACAATACGCCAATACAAACACGCTCAAATGTTTATACAATCACACCCATATGCAGGCGCATATGCTGGATAATTCTCAATCATAAATGCAAAAAGACGTTTTTAAAAATCCGTGCTCACAAAGTTGCAATCGCATAACATATAAAAACAAATACAAAACATGCATACAGAATACACAAACAGAAAAAACATATATGCGTAAACATACATAAATAAACATACAAACAAAAATACACATACATAAACACGCACGCAAAAACGCAAATACATAAACACATGTGGATAAGAAATACGCATATATGACCCAGCACAACTCGCAATAGATCACGATGATGGTTTATCATATGCAGTTGGCTGATTGCAATTGTGTTGTGCGTGTGTGTGCATGTTGTGTGTGTGTGTGTGTGCATGTTGTGTGTGTGTATGTTGTGTGTGTGTGTATGTGAATGATTGTTCTTATTGAGTTTTGGCTTATGTAAAAAAATGACTTTTCCGAATGATCCGGCTTGGAGTAATTGTTTAATGCGCCATCCACTGCTTCAGTGATACTGCAAATGTGCTTCCGTGAAAGAAAACTGACGACTTCACGTATCTTCAGATAACCAGCAATTGCAACAAAAACGCACGCCAAAATGCGAGGTGTTCGTATAAAATCATCTCAACAAACATTACACAGTCAAACATTATTTTACAAAATATTAAAATAAAATGATACAAACAGATTCTTATATGTACATCACGCAGAAAAACGCATTTCAATTCAGCATACATACAAAAACACCTTTGGGCCTACAAACATACAGCAATCAGTTATTGAATATTATTGGGCCTGGCTTACAAAACGAACATAATGACATATTGGCAGCATTTATTGGTTTATTTATAAATCATCATAAATTTGATATAATGATTATTAGTAGGAGTCATAGTATAGTTATAAAGTTTATTCACGGCCAAATTTACTACCATATGCCTCGAACCTACACAAATTCACACACAAACACATTCGTATACATACATACATACATTCAAATATACACCAAATGAATGCACAATTTCATCACAACACATGCACTTGAGGAAAGGACGGCAATGTTTACAAACTTGTTTTGTGTGTTTATGTCTGTTTTATGGGCACAAACATATTGTATGTGAAGAAATTGTATGTATACAAACACAACGTTGCATGTATGCAAACATATTGTGTGTATAAACAATATACATGGTGCACGTCAACGTAAGCAAACAAACCAGCATTAAAACATGCTTCCAAAGAACGGTGACCAGTAGGGAAAAAAAGCGAAAAACAGCAGATGAATAAATTTCAATAATCTGCTTTTACCTCCGCAGTGGAACTTTTAAGATTGTTTATTTGCTAATTTTCGTTGGCATTCTTTCTGGGTTTTTTTTACATTTTTATTTTGCATTGAGTGGGGTTGTAGTTTTTTGTTTCGCTTGTTAGTTTTAGGAAACTTTTTAAGGGATGTGTTGACCTAAACAATGTCTCGGCATAACTTGCATGAGTTAGAAAAAACGTGCAACAAATTTTATGACCACTTGAATGTTCATCGGATTTCATTACGACCATGTGTGTGTTCGCGCGTGTGTGCGTGCGTGTGTATGTGTGTGTGTTTATATATGCGTCTGTAACCACTAAAATTTCTTAGAATAGTTTTTATTGTGACAATATGTTAGGGTGACAACTTTTTAACTTTCCATCGAATAAATTTTTTTAAAAACTGTTCTCCAAAGTAATTTTTAAACAAAATACATTTTCAGATTTGTCAAGATAATCAAGTCATGATCAATAAGGAGTTTTTGGAATGATAAGTTAAATCGAAGCTTTTAAGAAACTCAAACACATCATAAAACAACTTTCCTGCCGAAAACAAATCATGCAACGTGCGGATGAGGCGAAAGACGGCCATGATTTAATGAGTCTAGCAACCATAACTAAAGACTCCATTTTGTTGACCTGGCGCTTCTTAGATGATGTAGCGCTTTATTATTTCTATGAAAAAAGTCTTTTAAAAGACGAATACATATCGTTGGAAAAAAAGAGAGAGGAAACAGACATCAATCTTCTTTTCCAAAGTTCTTTAAATGATTCATTAACATTTAACAGAACCCTAGACAGTAATGATAGTTACGCTGGAGAAGTTGATAACAATTTGTTCACTAAACAACCTCAGAAAATTTTCGGCTACAATGAACTGCAAGATTACGTTGAGGCGACACGTGAAACTCAAACATTGACACCTGCCAGCTTGAAATTAAAATCTTACCACCTGACCTATCAAGCAAGTGGCAGTAACAGAATGCTCAAATCTCCACACATTCAACCTCCTCATCGATCTTTCTTCATGAACAACTTGCATGAAAATACCAACTACAACATTTGCCTTTTTGCTGATATTGAAACTTTCCTTGACAATCAACAAGACAATGCTACATCATCCACCTTGCTTACAGTTGCAACCAAGCCAACAGATTACGTCAATTTTAATGCACCACAACATTTTTTAAAGCGAAAAGATACCTTTGTTCATAAAACTAAAAGGAAAAAAAAGCAAATCCAACAGCATTTTTTGCCACAAAGTCATATTTTGACAAACATTTCAAGTATTGCAACTGATGACAATTTAGTGCAACACCATCACACACAACTTCACGATCACACAACAATTCAGCATCGGCACGAGCATCAAGAACGACACATTCGGTCTCATACCTCACCTTCCCCAAAACACCGTACATCGACACAATTTTTAGAAACGTCAACAACATTGCTACCTAGTTTATTAAAATCATCTAATTTATATCGAACGACGAACAGACTGCAATGGACGGGCAAGCAGTTAACGGTGGGCATAACTTGCATCCAGGCCTCCACACAGACAGGTTCCTTCGTCGTTACTGTTGGCAGCACTCTAGGGGCGTTTCTTGCTTTTGCCATTGTCATTTCTCTGGTGTATTTAGCCAAGAGACAGAATCGACCTCAAAAAAACTTGACTGGCTCGCGTGGAATGTCTGCTTTAGGAAATGAAATGGCTCTCGAGAAAGCTTTACTTAGTATCGGAGATAGTGTCTTGTTTCCCTTTTACAACCAAAAATTTGTCAGAGATGTCTGTGAACTGGAGGGAGATGAGAGTGATTTGAAACCAAATGAAGATGAAAACTCCGCTGTTGGTGAAGTTTATTACCTGGTGTGCGGTGAAAATGGCGAAATAATAATGGGCGATGAAGATGGCAACCCGATTTTCGACGTGGCAGAAGGGAGTGGAGGGAGGCAACAATATTATTTTGTATCGGATGATGTCATTGAAGAAGGGAATGAATGCGACGATGTGGTTGATTATGAGGGTGGTGGTGGTGTCGTTGACGTGGTTTTTGAGGAGGCGGCCGACCAAGATGGGGAGGGTCTTGTTTCTCAGTTGAGTGTTGTCAGCGATAAAGAAATCAAACCAGATGAAATAGTAATTAATGTTGATAGTTTTGATAACGAAGGGGCTGACGGGAAAACGATGATGGAAAATTTTTACCGCGTTAAATTTTAATTTTTTTTAATACGATACAGTTTTTCATCGATTCTACCTTTCATTAAACTGTTGAATAAATTTTTTACTTTTAAATACATTTTATATATACATGTTTATATGTGTATCTTTTGTAACGTTTGTCAGTTTCGATTATTCAAATTGTTTCTTCTAAGAAGATTCCAATAAAAATTATATGAGTTTATGTTATATTGAGGCAGTGTTAAATTGTGATTCATAATTTGTCAAATAGAAAATTTTTTTATTTTAATAAAAAATTTTTGTTATAAAATTATTTTGATTAGGCATTAAATCACCAGCAAAAATGAACGTTGCGTAGTCTATTATATTTTTTTTGAAACGTCTCTTGGATGATACTAAACTATTATTTTCAAATTTCATTCTTATTGAAATTTGAACTAATAAGAAAAAATATATCTAATTATTTAAGTGTGAAAACGCATGAACTCGAGATAATCACAACTGGATGTGTTTCGTTTCAGTTTCAGCAAAATAAGAAGTGTTTTGTTGATTTGCCAACAAAAAAACATATATAATATAGACATTTAAAAACTAATACAAAAATACACATTATAAAACCATTATAAATAGTATGTGTATTTGTATGTGTGTGTGTGCGTGTGTGGTGTGTGTGTGTTATTTACTTATAACTTATAAACTCAGCATAATTAAAATGCTGACAAATCTAACTAAAACAATAGATCACTTCCTATTAACGATAATCTCACAACAGGTATTCGGTCGGATTGGTATAAAGTATTTTATTAGTTTTGTTGCTTGTCCATTATGTTTTTAGAATGTTTATCGTCAAAGTTATTTTAAATATGAAAAAATTTTGTTTTTTAAACGTGTTTGGTTTAATTTGTTTCATATTTACAGGTAATTTGATCTTTTAAATTTGTTTTGGATCAGTCATAAAGTAATGCATAATGTCTAAATTATGGTTGTTGATATAGAGATAGTTCATTCAGTTGATCAGCACAACCAGGATCAAAAATATTCAAATTAAATGAAAACATTACAACATGAAAATTGACTATGAAAATCTACAGATTGACAGGCAGCCGAAGTTAACTTGGCCTTCAGGAAACAAGTGTATTGCAGTCCTTTTTATGGTGGGTAGCCATGTTCAAATGCTGTGGATGGAGATATGAGAAATTTAGCTATTAATGCAGATAGAAGCAACTGGATGGTGTTTGATCTTGGTGAATTTTGCAGGGTGGAGTATGTGGTGCTCTATAATGTTGTTCAATCTGCTGATGGCTATTTGTATGGAAGCGGTAATTAACTAAAGATTATCAAAAACATAACCATTACCACTCATTTAATAAAACAGTGTCATCGTTAAAATCGTTTTACATATTTGAAGTTTAAAAATTTTATATTTGTTAAATTAAATTTATAAAATTTTCATTTAATTTAAATCTCAAATTAGCTGATAGGATGGAAAAATTTTCAGTGGGATTGTTGTTGGATTACGTTGTTGGAAGCTTACCAACTGACAATAAGAAATGTGGAACTCATCCATCTTGCAGTAATGTTGGGGATGTTTGTCGACTCAACTGTTCACAACCATTTCAAAAATCAAAATATGTTTTGTTGTTCTCTAATGCGAAAGATTACACTGTCAACGTGGCTGAATTTCAAATATGTGGAGATAACATAAGTATAGACAATAGAACGTATGTGGTATAACATGAAAATTTTGTAAAATTCAAATTATAATATTTTGAATGCAGCCAGCTATTCTGATCAAAATATGGGATGCTTTCAAAATTTTTCGAGTACAAATAATTATCATGGAAGCGTTATTTTATTGTACCAATGTTTAAATAGATGCAGTAAGAACCTCTATGCTGGAGTCATTGTTAGTTTTTTAGGATACAACTTTTGATTTCAAAATAAAAAAATGTTATAAAGTTAAAAATAATCCTAATTAAACTAGCATTTACTATATTTAAAATATCATTTATCACTGAAATATTAATTGTAAAATATAAAATAAAACAACAGAACGGTCAAGATTACCAGGCGACATGACCAATTACCAGGCGACCTGACATCTTCAGATCATTGTGGAGTTGCATGTCCCAGCGATGATCATTTATGCGGAGCTCCTGGTTACTTTGCAGTTTATAATGGTTAAGTTTGATCAAGTTTTCATCAATATGGGTTTCACATTTTGAAAACATTTCATCCGTCAACTAACTAATAATTTTCTAATCTGTACTGACAGTTTCGAACTGTACAAAAACTTCTGATTCAATTGAGTGCAACGGCAGAAGTTAGAGACGTACTTTTTATTTTCAACGATAAATATCTTGGTGATATTTCATTGGTTTTGTTATAAAAAAAAGTTATGAAAGAATTTTTTTGATTAATTTAATCATTGAAGACTGTTCAGTTAACAATGGAATGTGTGGAGCACATACATGCAAGACAAACCTCGTTGGACCGTCCGATATTTCTGAATATGTGTGCAATGTTGGTTACGACAAAAATTTCTACAGCGGTGATTGCATAGGTGTATAACATTTATTCGTTCATTCTTAATCATTTATTCTTTCATTTGTTTGTTCGCTCGTTCATTCATTCAATTGATTCTTCACTCATCCAACTGTCCATTCATTCATTCGTTCATTCATCCACCAATTCGTTTCATTATATATTCGTTCATTTATTCATCCTATTATACTTCCACTTGTTCGTCGAATTTTTTAAAAATTAAACCACAACTCAAATTTTTCCTAACGCCAAACACTGTCTCAAGACATCAACGAATGCTCATTGAATGCCAACTTATGCCCTCTCAACATTTCAACATGTGTCAACACCGCTGGATCTTATGTTTGCAGTTGCACTGATGGCTATGTGAAGAGTGGCCAAAATAGCTGCACTGGTAATTTTATTTTCTAAGTTTTATTTCAAGGTTTAATTTCCAGATTTTATTAAAACTTTGCCGCTATATTCAACCTAAAATTAACAAAATATGAAATTTTTACGTAATTTTTTACATTGAAAAAAGTTAGAAATTTATTTAAAAATGGTAGGTTAACGTTCAAATCATGATTTCATTACACATTCAATCAGCTCTGTTAAAAAATATTAATAAAAAAAAGTTTTTTTTCAAAGAGTTCTCAGAAATTTATTGTCACCTACAATGGTACACTGACTGGCCTGATGTAGGACTGCCTAATAACGTTGGCAGTTTACTAAACTTCCATCACCACATGAAATCTTTCCTAGAAACTAAGAACAATTTCGACAAAAATCTATCTAATATTGTTGTCCTATGCGAGTTAGTGAAATTATAAAATTTTCATATTAATCCAATAAACCATATCCATTTTCTTGCACAAACCATTACACCATCCATTTTAACAGAACAGGTGTCGGTGCTTCGAGAATTTTCATAGGTTTGAATTACCTGATTGAACGGTGCGAAGATAAAAGCGTAGTTGAAGTGTTACAATGTGTGAAGAATCTCAGATCTCACAGAAACCACGTGGTTCAAACTGAGGTTGCGTTTAAATTTTTATTTTTAATATATTTTTAATAAGTTCATAATAATTTTTTAATAGTATTAATATTAATAATACTGGTAATAATAATACTATTAATAATAATGACATAATTTCAAAACATTCGTCACAGGAAGAATATGATTTCCTGTACCAATCCATGATATTTTACCACAACCTAGGTCATACATGTTTCTCCATCTCTGATGACTCCTTCACTAAATTCCTAAACAGTGAAACTTTTATAAAAGTTTAGAAAAACAGTTCTTGGTAGCTATTTTTTACATCTTTTCATTTAGATTTTTGTCATCAATCAAATTAAAACGAACGCCAAAATTTTAAATTATTCACAGATGATCATCTCAAATGGTGGAACTTCAAACAGAGGTTAAATTATTAATATCAGTTTTTAGAGAAAAATTTGTATTCTTAATGTCAATTTTTATTGATATTACAGATAATAGCGCGAGAAATACAAATGGATTTGTCGTTTATCCGGTAAAAATTATTTTTTCATATTTTTTGATTTAAAAATTTTTCAATTATGTCTTGAAACCTAATAATATATCAAAATTGTACGAGTAGAAAAATAACTTTTAATCCCAAATTGAAAACCTTAACAGTGCTTCAACAAATCGAACGCATTTTTGGCTTGCGAAATAGGCAAGAACATAAAAGGTAGTGTCCTCTATGGAGATGTGTTAGGTGATGGTTCCATAATTGTTTTTATTGATTCAAAACCAACCAAACAAGTTAGTAGTTTCATATATATTTCTATTTTATGAAAGCAAATATTTAGATAAAAATAGTAAATTTTATTCCAGAACGCCCTACAATTACTTATTCCCGATTCTGGAAAAAAACTAACATTTCACAAGATCACCATTGAGAACAATGGCGAAACGAACCACGTTTACAAGACAGCCAACTGTATCAACAGCCCATCAACCGTAGCGTTAACACTAACTAAGAATGATGATGAAATAAATGAAGATGATATATACAAAAATGATAATGTTTACAACAAACTATCAAATCATGGTCGAAGTATCAAGATACATTCACTAGAATCCATCGATCAAATCCAATCTTTGTACAACCTGTTGAAAGATAGTATCAAAAATCAAAAATGCCCAGCTATCCCATTGTTATACAAGTATGTATTTATGTGCAGAATTTGATTATTTGAGATATATTCAGTAGTTTAATCAATAAATACTAAATAAGTTGTATATTTTACAAATTTTGAAGACACTGACGTGAAAGTTGTCCTAGTGTTGTTGTCAGTGTTGGAGATGATGGAAACCAACCAGCAGGTAGATGTATACCAGGCGGTCCTTCAACTACAGACACTCAGAAACAGCAACCGCAACAACCACAACAATATCAACTACTACAACATCAACACTGATATGACGTCACAGATGACGTTTATATCTACAATAACGATGATGTGTTTGTAACTATGAAACAATACGAGCTCATCTACGATGTCGTTGGGAAGATTGGTGGGAGTAGAAAATAAAAATGACATTTTTTTGTTTCAGTTTTATGAAATTTTGATAAATTCATAATTTTTTATCACTCAGCTTTAGTAGCATTTTGAATTTTCTGTCTATGCTTATATAATTTACAATACTGTATTTAACATCTTAACACTGTTGAAAAGCCGAAGTTTCAGAATCGTTTTTCACTTCTTTAGTATTAATGAATTTCATATAAAAACCAATTTTATTTTTTGCAATTAAACTTAAATCTCTGTTATTAATGTATAAATAGTAAATTTTTCTATTTATTTCTTTTTTTAATAATTTTCCTTGATGTTTTTCAATAAAACGTTAATTATTTTAATTTCAAGCATCTTAACTTCAATATTCATGAATATGTGCTTGTGTAGGTGTGTTTGTGTATGTTTGTGAGCGTGTGTATGTGTGTGTTTGCACAAAAAATATTAAATAAAACAAGTAGAAAAAATTAAAAATACTTGTACATACCAAACAAACAACAGTGCCAGTAGCAATATCTGAAAAAGAAAACTTAATTTTGTTATTAATTATTTATTGCAACATTATGTAGGAAAAATTTATAAGTTTTAATACATTAGCTCAATAATCTACTGAAAATCTAAATTGTAGTTGATAATAATCTGTAATAAGCTATTGTGATAATGCATCCCCACTTTTAATCCGGAATGTTCGATTGGTCAGGAAACTTCTGATCCATCCAATAATGTTTGTGTTAACAATAAAACTTGACAATTTTGATATCAGTTTGTTGTGGAATATGATGTCAAAGGCTTTTTCTATATCTGTAGATTTTTGCTGGGCGACATTTGAAATCCGCACCATGCGGTCCCGAACCGCGCCCACATACGAATATTCACCCGAGCCTTCACTTTGGCGGAGTCTTTCCTGGCCGAGATCTGTCACTCTACAATAGACCCTCTCAGGGTCTGAAAACATGGGCCGGGCGGAAATTTGTTCGCGCCCTACTTGTTGACCAGTGACGCCAACCTTGTCAACTATCAGCATGTCTTCTTCAACATACATTATTTTAGGTAAAATAATTAAGCCGTGCCAAATTTCAAGTGCATACTTGTTTTATTCAATAAAAACAAAATAGTAAAAATCAAACCTCAGTCTTTAATGCAAAGTAACAATTAACACGCGATATACAAAATTAACTATCTATTAATACTATCTACTATAACTATCAGGCCAACTATCAAAGATCCAAGCAACACTTAAATCAACAGCTGAAAATAAGACCATAGCAAAACCAAGAAGTTAAAAACAACCCCCTTTAATATCTCAACTCGTTGCCTTATATATGTTTTTACCACCCTATCTACATAACGCTTTTTATATCATAGAAAATTCTATACTCCCTTCTATACACTTTTCTATACTCCCTATATACAGAACAGCACAAAGCCAGCGTCGTATATATCGCATATATAGCATAGCAAATAACAAGTATATACATACATAGAAATGTTTATTTAAATATAAAGATATATACATGCGGCACGCTTCAAAGACGCAATCATTATCGCAATCGTTACAATTTCACAAAATATACAGGCGGCATATTTCAAACATGCAATCATTATCATCATCATCACAATCGTCACAATTTCACGTATCCAAGTATATAACTGCTTTGTTTTGATCCATTGCTTTTGTGACATTATTCAGAAAATATAGAAGTTGTTTAACAGAAGATCTGTCTGGGAGGAATCCAAACGGCTTTTTAGAGAGAGAAAAAAAGATTGTTACTTTGGAAATGATCCAGTAAGTAATCTTTGACAATTGATTCCATTACCTTGCAAGGTATCGATGTTACAGAGATTGATCTACAATTTCTTGCATTTTTGGTAATTTTTTTAATTCCAATAATGTGACATCGCTACTGTTTATCATGATTATCAAGCCAAACCATATACCCTACTTATACTTGCAAGCCATCTTTTGACTCATCTTGTCGAGCAAATTTGGCTTTAAATGATTCCCAGTTGAAATCTTAATTTCATTCTATGAAGATCGTAAAAATTTCAACTTTGATAACGAACTTTGTAAAATGGAACAAAACAAATTGCCTTCAATATACCACATGTAGGGCTATTTAGTGTTTTTATGTGTGTAAACTCTAAACGCAAATGCAATAACATTTAAATCATACGTTAATGCAAGTGTAACAAACAAGAAAATTAAAATAACACCTTATAAACCCTCCATAAATGAAAAAAACTAACCATTTTAATTACATACCATTGTGTTCTTCAAAGTCTATTTCTATGTCTCACTTTTCTATAATCGCTTTTTGCCTTTTGTGTTTAAATCAAAACCCACAATTAAAATTATTCCCAGCTTTCTTATAGTTACACAAACTCAGATAGCAGAAATGTCAACTCAAAGTGGCGTCATTTAAAGTATATTTTAGTTTTGTCAATAGTTTGCTTGTATATAAATAAGACGCACCTTTTTGATTTTAAAAGTAAATTTATTTTTTAAGTTTTGTTTTGTTGTTCTCAGCTGATTTTTTTATGATTAGATAAAATCAGAGTCTCGGAGCTGATGATTTTTAGTAAAGGAGGTGACCTATCTAACTCATTAGAGGATTCTTCAGAGGAGATTTCGTACGTCCCCATCAAGCTTCTTGGCAGTGGATCGTTCGGGGAAGCATTTCTCTACAGGAAAGTTGAGGTGAGTGCTCCTCTTTGGTCGTTGCTATGGCTACCCTTCACTTCACTTCACTTCACTCCACTTCACTTCAATAATTAATAATTTAATAATTATTTTATGCGATCCACTGAATGAACAACACCAGAAGGAAATATTAATGTTACTTATTTTCTTATCACTTATTGTCATCATCTTCTTATACACACCAAATAAAAAGATAGATGTCACAGTAGGAGTTAAGTGACAACACACAACAGACAGGCTGTGATGTGTGATCATTGATTGGGTGGTGCTGTATGTATGGGGTGCCACACACAGTTGACAATGAGCACAATGACAGAATCACACAACACAAACCATCTGAGATTTATTTTCATTTGTGTTCAGAATTTAAATTTTTAATGAAAATAAATTAATCTGAACATTTTCAAACTTATATTAATATATTTAAATGGAATTTGCACTGGTGGTATTTTGTTTAATAGCTTTAATGACTTTGATTTGATGATTGATTGAAGTGGGTTATTAAGAGTCTTTTAAGTTACAATTGTTGGATTTTTGTCATGCATCATCACATGAAAGATGCATGATATTCAAATTTTTTTAAATAAATTTGCTACATTGTTGTATAAATTAAACATTGTAATTAATGTTAATACAAATATTATACAATTTCAACTTCTGAGAAACAGTAATTTTTCTTGTTAGTATGTAACAGTTATACTCCTTATAGAATTTGATGAGAATCTGAAACAGCCTTTCATATTATTCTGCTAATGTTTCAAAACTAAAAAGTATGCCTTAGTTGATCGTTTGCACGGTTACATTGTTTCAGGCTTACTTAGTAAAATCATATTTTTGATAAATAATTTGAATAAAGAATATGATCATTGTTAAATTATAAGGACTGCTGTATTATGTGTTAAAATGTTGTTCTAAGGACAACTCTTTGGTTGTGTGGAAGAAGATAGATTTGAAAAAAGTTGATGACCGAGTTAGGAGAGAAACTGAAAATGAAATAAAGATATTATCCATCTTGAGTCATCCCAATGTAATCAACTACTACAACAACTTCACTGATGGTGAGGCCATGTACATTGAGATGGAATATGCAAATGGTCAGTCACCTAATGATGTTTCTTACTTGCTGCTACCAATTTTATTTCAATTATTTTATTAGTAGCCATTTTTTCTCATTATTTCCTCATTAATTCATTACTTTCAAATTCGTCATCTCTATATTATCATGTGGTCACATTCACTATGGAGTCAATGGTTTATTAATTTTCATTTTTCAACTTATTAGATAGATTAAAAATATTTTTGTCATTTGTAGTTTTAATAGCTGTAATGAAATATATTTATTTCATATCAAATAAATTTTTGTTATTCATATTGATCACCGTTAATTAAATAATTCACTCTTTCAATTTACGACTCATTCTGCTTCATTAACAAAATTACAAAAATGTTTTTCTATTTTTTCTTCTTTTTCCTGTCTTAACTTTCTTGCTAATGATGAAATTAAATCGTTTGCACTCGGTAAGGAGGAACACTGCATGGGAGAATATCAAGAGAAACTACGCTGTTTGGAGAAAGTTTGATTCTCGAGTTTTTCTACCAAATCGTATCAGCTGTGGCCTATATGCACTCTCTAAACATCCTTCACAGGTACCAGCTACACTTGCACAGTGGATATTTTTATTTCATTTTCTGATACTTTAACCACCCATTGTTTCACATAGATAACCAGATAGACTGATATGTTATTTGTATTGACAATATCATGTAACATCTACAGTTATAATAATACCATGATTTTTATCATATTTTTTTTATAAAATAATCATTTTTATATCTTAATTAATGTTTGTTATTATCGGGAGTGGAAAAATCCCACCTTGATCCTCTAGGGACATCAAGTCCTTGAACATTTTCCTGATGAGGAATGATGTCGTGAAACTTGGAGACTTCGGGATCTCGAAACTTCTTGATTCAACTAATCAGATGCTGGAAACTGTAAGAAATTAAATGGCCACATCCCTCTTGTCTGCATTATCTAAATGTTCCTCCAAATATTTCATTAAAAATCATGATTTAAGAATGATGAAACAAACAATTCCAACTCATACAACATACAACTCGTCATTCAGTAGGTATATTTGTTCACCGTTCACACACAAACAAATGATAAAAATCGAAATTTTATTCAGCAACAAAAATTTAAAGGAAAATAAACCTATAAATAAATTACCTATTTATTATTTAAATAATGGAAGCTGTATATATGTTGCCATTTCTATTATTATCATCTATTTAATTTCTATTTTGAAATATGGTACATAGTAATGACATAAAGGTTAAAGGTCAATAATGAATATTCACCACGCAGTGTGTGGGCACTCCTTACTACATGTCACCGGAGATTATCAAAGGAGAGAAGTTTGTGTGCTTTGGTAAATTATTTGGTCGAAAAAACATAGATCAATAATTCTTAATATAATTTTAACATTATATAGCGGAAAGATAGTAGATCAGTAATTCCTGACATAATTGTTAATAATTTAATTACAAAGTGTTACAGTTTGTGCAAACTATAATTATAGCATTGATTATATTATTTATTATTTTATTTTAAATTTTTTAAATTATAATATTAAATAAAATTCATGTAAAAGTTTTTAAAGTTTTCTATTTTTGTCATTGAAATCAAACATGAGTGATAATAAATTCTTTGAACAAAGATACGATGAGAAGTCGGATATTTGGGCATTGGGATGTGTCCTGTATGAACTCCTCACTCGAATCCGGATATTCCAAGCCACTGTAATGTTTTGTGCGTGTTGTTACTCATTCTGTTGTTCTTCGTTTGTTGTTGTTGGCTCATATTTCCTGTTAGTTAATGTAACATTGCTGTTTTCATGCATTTTAGCTTATTTTGACCAGGAGGGCAAAACATATATTTCTATGAAATTTTTTTTGCCATATAAAATTTCGTTGTCAATGTGTAACTTTGTTCGTGTGAACTGGGATGTCTGTGTTGTATGCATGAGTTGTGTGGTTGCTTGTTTTATTATTCTGAGAGTGATGTGTGTGTGTTAATACGTTGCTTCATTTCAGAACACCTCTTATATGCTTGCTAGTTGAAACTTTTTTCATTTTATTCATGAGTTTATTTTGTAAATTGTTGTTACTGTGGTATATATGTATGTGTGTGTAATAAATGCGGGATGTGTGTGTGTGTAATCTATGTGTAATGTGTGTGTGTGTGTGTGTGTGAGAGAGAGAGAGAGAGAGAGTTGTGTGTGTGTGTATGTATGATATATGTGTGTGTGTATAATGTTGGATATATATGTTTGATGTATATGTAAGATATGTATGTGTATGTGTTAGTGATACATTTGTGATACATTTTACTTTTCATTTTTGGTATTTGATTCGATTTAATTACTCACATAAATCTGACTGAGTGATACTTATCATATCCTCCCTGAAGAACCCACTCCAACTTGCCACGAACATCGTGACAATGGACATCCCAAACGTCGATGCCGGCTACTCCACCGACGTCCAACTCTTGCTCTACCAACTCCTTGATAAGGTTCACGAGGTTTTTTTTCTTCATAAAATGTATTGTATAACAAATGATGAAATTTAAGTAAAAGAATCACCACTGTACCAACCAAACGAGTCATCAGTGAATGTGTGATTTGTTTCATGCAAATCATTTCACAATTTGCATATTTTAGGATATGTCTAAAAGGCCTAGGGCTTCTGAAATCATGGCTCTTCCCATTTTTGATGATACAAGACGGTTAACAGATTTTCAGTTATTATATGAAAAAATAAAATTTCAAGTACGGTGTAAATTTAAGGAAAAATTTTTATTTCTATTTTTATTATTTTTTTTTGCTCCAGTCTTATCAGCAATCGACTGATTGATTTGGATTCATCCCTATCTTCGTCGTCGTCGTCGTCATCATTTTCCAAACAAAAAAGCGACAGCGGCTCCATCATAATACCAGTCGTCACTTCAAAATCCTGTGAGGTAGTATTGATGATGATGATGATGCTGTTGATGATGATGGTGATGGTAAAGGATAATGATGATAAATGATAAGTAATAATATTACAACTACTACTACTATTACTATACTACTACTACTACAACTTACTACTACTATTACTATACTACTACTGCTACAACTTACTACTACTACTACTATTACAACAACAACAACTACAACAACAACAACTACTACTACTACTACTACAACTTACTACTACTACTACTACTATACTACTACTACCACTACTACTACTACAACTAATAATAATAATAATAACAACAACAATAATAATAATATCAGTTGTTCATCTGGGGTGGGGGTAAGGTGACTCCACAGAAGGTTGAGTTCTTCACTAAGGAAAAATGTCCGCTCCAGGTCGCAGTGGTGATGATAACGATTTCGATGGTGATGATGTTGTTGATGATGATGATGATGGTGATGTTGTTGATGATGATGATGATGGTGATGTTGTTGATGATGATGATGATGGTGATGTTGTTGATGATGATGATGATGATGGTGATGATAATGATGGTGATGATGTTTTTGATGATGATGGTGATGGTGATAATGATGATAGTGATTACTAGATAATGATAATTATTGAAATGATAATGATGATAAAAATAATAAATACAATGACGACGATGATGATGACGATGATGATGATGAGGACAGCGATAATTCTAAAGGCCAACGATGATGATGGTGATAGTACTTTGGTTAATGACTTTTGTGGCGTTAATTAATTAATTAGTTAATTAAGTTAGTTAATTAATTAATTACTTAGGTAATTATCCGCTAATGATAAATTATATAAATTGTTTTCATTCGTTGATGATGATTGATACGCTAATAATGATGGTTATGGTGATCAATAACGTTAATAATATTTAGTATTATGAACAGTGGTGGGTTGTGGGGTAATGTTCTTGTGTGAGCATAGAACAGCAAACGTTGATGAATGAATGTCTTCAAAGTTTCAAATGCTTCTTCATCCATTTATGAAGGTAGCAGTTGGTGCCAGTCACTTTGCTGTCGTTACCATGGAGAAAGAATTGTATACCTGGAGTGTATGTTTTTGTGGATGTTTGTGTGTTTGTATGTTGATGTATTTTTTTGTATGTTGTGATGTATGTTGATGTAGGCTTTTGTATGATGTGTTGCATGTTGACGTATCATTTGTATGTTGCGTTGTGTGTTGATGTATGCTTAAGAGTATTGTGCTTTATGTTGATGTATGCTTAAGAATGTTGTGATATATGTTGATGTATAGTTTTGTATGTTGGGTCGTATGTTGATTTAGGCTTTTGTATGTTGTGATGTATGTTGATGTAGGTTTTGTATGATGTGTTGTATGTTGATGTATCTTTACGTTGTGTTGTATGTTGATGTATGCTTAAAAATGTTGTTATGTATGGTTTTGTATGTTGGGTCTTAAGTTGGTTTAGGCTTTTGTTAGTTGTGATGTATGCTGATGTTATCTTTTGTACGTGATGATATTTGTAGGCCATTTGATCAACCCCTACAAACACTTCATTATAGAACGCCAGCGGTGCATCGAAGGTGAAGGGTCAGCTGGGTCAGGGGGACGTGGCAGCCTACAAGGCCCCCAGGAGGGTGCAGTTGAATGCATCTGAAACTGTCAATCATGTTGCATGTGGTGACGAGTTCACTGTGTGTCTCACTGGTTGTCCGTCTGCCCATTATCTTCGTTGTTCTTATGACTATTATCTAAATCTTTGTTGCTAAATTTTGAAATTTGTATTTTTCTAATTTTTGCTTACCTTATAACAATTGAAATATTATTTTTTAAATCTAATTGTGTATACTTATATATTGTTATTTGCGAATTATATCGAATGCGAAACACAATATAATCAAGTGCTGTATTTTTTTTTAATATTTTGTTATATTCTAATTATTATTATCATTTACATTATAATAGTTTGATTTTAAATTTAATTTCCTCCAATCAGAGACAGGCCACTTATATTTCTTTGGATCGAATGAGTATGGATGTTCAGGATTGGATGGGGAGCCCTCGGATAGTTCCCATGCCAGCAAGGGTGAGGTTTTTTCACTTTTAATAATTATTTATCCACTTATTTATGAATATAATTATGTTTCAACTTCTAATTCCGTGGTTTTTATGCTGATTTAAAATCAGTCAGTCGGTGTTTCATTTTAATTTCTTAAGGAACCATTGAAACACATGGCGCCAACAATTCTCGCCCATTTTCAAATTTTTTTTATCTTTGGCTAATTTTATTAAGTTCATAATTCTCATTTCAGTCCTTTTCTTGATGCCACATATTGCTAGGTTTCTTCCATTGCCTCTTCCAGCGTCCATTCTCATTAGTGCAGTTTTAACATGCCAGCTACTCGGGACCCTGCTATTACAATGTCCAAAAAATCTAAGTTTCGCCCCGTTGTACTCTCTTTATTCTGAACTGAAATAAAAGCAAGCGTGGCAACAGCGGTGCATTGCAACTGGTCCACGGGTATCTCAACAATACAGGCAGGCAGGCTCTCTGCTTGATGAGAGTTGTTAATAAGTAGATTTTTATGACGCGGGTCAACATTTAAGCCACTTTCTACGTCTAATTCGACGGCCATTGCTAACGGAAAGTTGGCAATATCTTTTTCAATAATGTTAGGCACAAGTTCACAACACGTTTGTATAATGTAATATAACATTAACATTAATATTAATCACAACACTCATTAATAATTATGATACTTAAAAAGCTGCCATCTCAGGAAGTTCATCGATGTTATTGGTCCCTACTTTGGTGACCTCCCTGCTTGACCGACCAATCAGACAGCTGTCCTGTGGAGCTCGTCACGTGATAGCCCTGGCTGAAGATGGTGACGTATACACGTGGGGGTCTGGAGAATTCGGTTTGTAAGGATGAGGATGAAGCAAGTGATAATGCAAAATGATGATTGTACTGGTGAGAAATCATGATAATGATTGAGAGATTGCTGTAATGACGTCACTGATCATGAGGCCTTTTGGCAATATTTTGTAAACGTTTAACGTCACACGTTAAAATGATGATGTCAAAAATGACGATGATAAGAATAATATAACTATTTGGTCTATTTATGGCTATGAGGGTGGTGACGGTTATGTTGATAATGGTGGTTACATGCATGGATTGTAGTTACATGACATGAAATAAATTTCATGTTACATGGCTAATTAATTAATTAATTAACTGATTAATTAATTATATAATCAACTAATCTTCTTATTCATTTCTTGATAAATTTTTTGCTGTGATTTAATGCAACCATCTCAATTAATGTTAGTGTTTAGTTATGTAACGATAAATCGATGATGTTATCCGACTCATTGGTTTAACTTCCGATTAACTTTATTTTAAATTGAATAAACGAAATATGATAGATGATACATAATGAAGACATCCCATGCATAGTAAATAACAATCCAAATAACAATAAATTCACAGTAAGCATCATAAATAATCATAAAATATAATAAAAGCTTGGAATGAATTACAGGATGTCTGGGCCAGGGTGATGAAGATGATCGTCACACTCCACACAAAGTCAGCAAGCATTCATTCTAATTATTATTATTATTATTTTTGTTATTATTTTTTTATTATTATTATAGCATTTATTGTGACAGGAATAATTTATGATGTAGATTTGAATATACTTCACCGCTCTGTACTTGTTTGAAACGAGCGTTGTGGTTTGTACTGGCATTTAATTATTTTAAACATTTCATCGTTTTAATCATTTATCACCCTGGCTATGAAAACAAGAGAGTTCTCATTGGTGTTATTGTATACACTGCTTAGTAGTTTTCAGTTCACAACATAACATAATAGCTAGCTCAGCCAACCAAACAGAAGTTGTTGTTCAACTATTTAATATGAGGATCGGTCTTCTGCTTTCTTAATTTGCCTTGGGCAAATATTTTGATAGTAAGTGCATGTAACTTTCAAAACATGAAGAAGTTAATAAAAAAAAAAAAGAAATGATGGAAGGCGAAAAAAAATAATTAAAACAGAAATAATAATAAAAATAGAAGGCTCCTCTTACATGGGCTCCGAAGTAAATAATTTCTATTAGATTTGACTTATCGTCACATTAATAATCATTCTTTATATCGTCGTCTCCATAGCCATCATTATCATCATCATCGTCATAATGACCATCATTATCATCATCATTATGATCATTATTATATTCATGATTATTACAACAGTCATCGCCACTTTGACCTCAACATGATCATCATCACTACTACTATCACCATCATCATCATTGTAGGTAGAACTAGTCAAGGACAAACAGATTCCCATACTCAGAGTGCATGCTGGTCTGGATCGTACCATTATTATAACGAGGGGTGGTCGAGTGTTTGCCTGCGGCTCAAACGAGTACAACAAATTGGGACTGAATCATTTTGTTGACGGGGTCGTCAAGAAGGTTCGTTTGGCAGTGTGGCGAATTGAAAATATGGGTGGGTGCTAATGGGTAGATACTTATTGATACAAATCAAACTAATTTCTATTTATTCTTTCTGGAGATTTGAAATATTAGGGAATGTTACTTAATTACTTCCTCAAATTTGTTTTTTGTGGGGGACTTTTTGTAAGATTTTCCACGAAACATGTTCAATCTTTTACTTTAATAAATTTGTAATTTCCAACTCAGCCGTTCGTGACTTCCTCCTCCTCATCTTCCTCCTCCTCATCTTCCTCCTCCTCATCTCCACCGTCAGCACAATGCAATGTTGCATATGCGATGATGTTCACGCTCGTGTCGTCACTATCAAGATACAACCTTGTCGATGCTGCCTCAGGATTGCAACATTCCGTTCTGTTAGACTGTAAGTTGATGTTGTTGATGACGATGTTGATGTTGCTGATGACGATGTTGATGTTCTTGATGACGATGTTGATGTTCTTGATGGTGTCGTATTTATTATTGTAGTCTGTTCATATTTCCACGGCATGGTGTTCTCGACTTTTCCTATCCATATTTTGCATCATCGCATTCGGCCATTTTTTTGGGTGAACGATTGTTTAGGCTCGTAAGATATAAAACAAAATATAGGTATGTAGATAACATCAATCGGTTGTGCAGTTTCCAACTTGAATATTTCTTGTATTAACATAAAGTTGATGTTTTCGGGATGATTTCAATATTTCTCAATAAAATATAGAGGCCATTGTTTAAGGGTTGTTAAACATTTTGTTCGCGATTTTTATTTTTTTAAACATTTTTCGTAAGTTAAGCTTGCGTTGTTTGTGATGTATAATGTTTGTATCCCGTTATTTAATTGTGTGAGTTTGTTATGTCATTTTAGACAACATATCTCAAATGTTATGTAGATTAGTTGACATTTCATTACGAGATGATGTAATCACTTCGTCGTAATCACAAATGTAATGATGTAATCACTTAGGTCGAGGTCGTCTCGTGAGCATGGGCAACAACAAGTATGGCCAGTTGGGGGTGGGTGATGCGAAGAATAGGGCAGGAGTTAACTTGGTGGGAGGTGCCTTGGTGGGCAAGAAGGTTGTGAGGGTTGGATGTGGGGACTACTTCACGGTGGCTTCTACGGATGGTCCGTGTGCTACTTCGACTTATTCTCGTTATTAAAATGTCACTTCTTTGTTACTGTTTAATCTTGTTTTACATTATGGCGATAGTAATTTGTTTTATTTGTATTTTAAACGACTGTTCTACTTATGGGCAACGCGATGGTGTAGCGGTATAGTGCCTGGCAATGTGATTGCAGTGACCGGATTCAATTGCAAAAAGAGCCCCGCTCATCACATGCTATGTGTGCGATGCGTTGTATCACGTTCATTTGCATGCACTGTCGTTTGAGAAATACTGAAGAGTGAATTATAATTAACAGATATTATTCCATTTGGTGATTTTCATGAAGTTTTGATAACTTTGTAATTAACTTCCCACAAGACAACATGCTGTTCTCGTGGGGGTTGGGTGAGCACGGGAGGCTGGGCAACTCCTCCCTGCCCTCTTCCTCTCATCCCAAGCCAGTGTTTGGCTCGCTGCATACAGTGTCTCACGTGTCGTGTTCAGCCTGGAACGCCGCAATAATTGCCGGTCTGTATGACATGCATGCCTTCTCTGCAGTTTCATCCTTTTTTTATTTCATCCATTCCTTACTTTTTTTAAATTTTGTAATGTATACATTTTAATATTTGATTTATTTGTGTAGATTTCAAAAGCGTCGTTTTCGTAATAATCACAGCTTCGTCGTTAAACAAAGTTTGAAATATTTTCCTAATTTTTTCTTAATTTAACAGAAAAAGTTCTCAATCAAAAGGCAATCAAACCGGTTAGCAAGTACCAGAGTAGCAAGAATCCCAGCAGCGAATACAGCACCACCAACGACAACAATGACGATGGCTCTAGTGATACTAATTACTCTGGGAGGAGTCGAGAGGTGACGAATTCATCATCCAATAAGAGCACAGATGAAGACATCAATTACGATGATGCTGTTTTCAGTGCCGCTAATGAGAATAGGAATTATGGTGATGATGGGAATACCACTGGGGGAAATACTACTGATTACGTTCCTGATTGGTTGAAAGCTGTAAGTTGATTGGTTGATTGATTAATTGATTGAATGTTTCGTCGATCGATTGATTGATTGATTGATTGGTTGGTTGATTAATTGATTGGTTGGTTGGTTGATTGATTGGTTGATTGGTTGATTGATTGATTGATTGATCGATCGATCGATCGATCGATCGATCGATCGATCGATTGATTGATTGATTGATTGATTGATTGATTGATTGATCGATTGATCGATTGATCGATTGAGTTATTAAATGATTGAGTTATTTATATCATCTGGTTGAGCACATAACAGTCATTAGCTGTTAATCAATTATCATTCATAATTTTGATAATATGTGACGGTATGTGATGATATGTGTTGATACGTGATGATATAGTATCAGATCCTGTTCGATGATGTGTAATGGTGACTTAGGATTGTTACAAAATCCATTTTGCATTATTCACTTGTGTCACGGTGAAGGAGGTTGAGTATGCGGACGAACTGGAAAGACTGAAGAAAAAAGAAACAGCTGGAGAAGATGGCTGTGATGTGAACGATACTGATGATGTGGTCAGTGATGATGTGCTCTCTGATGATGTCGTCTCTGATGATAACGATGATGATTAGGATGATTATGTTGATGATGGCGTGGCGAAATGAAAAACGAAACCAAGTTATGCGTGAAAGGAACGTGCAATAATTAAACAATTTTTGTTAACTTTCAAACTCAACTGAATATCTTGAACCTTATTCTAGAGTAAAAAATTAAAAAGTTTCGTTGATGAGATCAGTGAATTGAAAGAGTTGAACGCTCAGGTTTGTTGGATAAGTTTGTTTTGTTCGTTAACGAAATAAGTTTTTAAAATTTTTCACATTATAAGGTATTTTTTTTTATTTCACTTTTATTTATAAACTAAACGGTTATAAATTCTAAATGTCACTCGCAGTTTAAGGCGCAGTTGATGGCGAAGGATACAGTGATATCTGATCAGCAAAAGTTGATTGAAACACTTGAGACTGAAGTCGCCCTTTTAAAAAATAAAATTATCTGATTATCAATAGTCTACTGCTTGTTATATTTCGTGAATTATTTTATTGGAATCGTTTGTGTGATTATTTTTCTAGCTGATAATGTTATCATATCGAGATGACGTGATATACATGTTTACCTGTGTTAGCTGCATACGTACATAGTCTTGCCTTTTTGTCAACTATCTTCTGCTGCTTCATATTGTTTTCAGATTTCTTAAACTGTCCTTACATATATTTTAATCGTTTTGTTTTTTTTATATTTCTAGAGTCAAAATATTGATTGACGTCATGTATTTTTTTCATGTTTTTCTATTCATATTTTTGATTTTTTTTTCATATAAATTAAATATTCACACAGTGTCTGATTAATAGAAATATTAATTATGACAGCAGCGTCAAACCATCATTTTAATTCTTACCCGATAAACTATGTGATAAAAAAGGCTGGGTTATTGTTATTTATGGCCAACGCCTTTCAAATTCAAAATCATCTCCAAATTGCTGACATGGTTTAATCAGAAAATTTACACCGTAATTTTTAATTATTATCCGTCCTAATTTCCTGGCAGGTTTTACGATAAATTTTGATAAGACCTGTCAACGGTCAACATGTGCCTGATAAACTGCAATTCTGATAATTCTTATCAGAAGCATGCCAATAAATTTACCAATGGTTAGTTGAGAATAGTTTTATGTAAAAACGGATCATTTACTGCATGTATTATGTATTTTATATTATTATTATTATTATTATTATTATTATTATTGGAGAATTTATATACCACCATTTAATATTACTCAGAGGCGCTTCTTGAGTCTAGTGGAATTGATGCATAAACCGTTCTTTGAGGGACTTCTGACACGACAACTTCGACATTGTTAGAAACACTTGCTGCGTCCTACCAATTAAATAAGATTCGAACCACGAGGCTACCGTACCAGAGACACCAAAACGATGTTTGAGCTTATGTATTAGTAAGGACTGGTCAATGCAGTCGAAGGCTGCGCTCATAATCTAACAAAGCCAGAAGAGAATAACCTGCACATTTATTGACCCAAACAGTTCAGATGATACACCGAACGAAGCAGTCTCCGTAGAATGGAACCGCCTGTAACTAGCTGGTAAGTTGGAATCATACTATGGCTATTCAAATGTTTTATGAACTGCATGGAAACAATGCGCTCGACAATCTTTGATAAAAACAAGGAGATTTGATATAGGTCGATAGTTATTGATGTCACTCTTATCAAGAGACGGCTTTTTCAACAAAGGTGTAACAACAGCATGTTTGAAAAATTTAGGGAACCCAAATTGATGAAAAAATGTCAAAAATGAGATAAAATGATCAATATATTGCCTAAGAATTCGCGTTGGAAAAACATAAACATAAACGACTTAGAAGGTGAACTGAAAACAATTTTATTTTGGCATCTTCACCAGTACAAGGATCGAACGAACATAACAAACTTTCAGCGTTCGAATTACAAGAAAGGCTGGCCTATGATTTGCATATTTTTTTAGATTTTTAATCTTTTCGTTAAAAAACAGTGAAAATTGAGATAAACTAAGTTTATTAATTGATTCAACACACCCTGTAACGCGATTGTTTCCAAACAATTTGTTAATTCTAGCCCATAACTTCCTGGGACAAGATTTGTTGCCCTGAACCAAATCCTTGAAATATGAATTCTTTTTACCAACAAAAAATGAAGCATTTTCCAGGCCATTATATTGGTTTTGCTGTGGTTGTGTCGGTAAACTTTTTCCAATCTACGACACAGTCTTTATACTTTTTTGCGATCGTCATCAAACCGAGGAGTATCGTGAGAATCATCGTTAACAACATAATACAGAGGTGCAGTTCTACCATCAATTGATTGAATGTCTTTTACAAGTGAGTCGCATGTAAAAGGTAGTTAATAGATCGCTTCAAAGGGATATAGTCCAAAGTCCATGTAGTCGCATGTACAAAGCCATGCATTTGTACATACGATGCTAGATTATTGCATTTATATTTAGCAGATAGATTCACTTCTAAAGCGATGTTTTCAAAACCATACAACTTAAATCGTAACGATAAAAACTTGGTGGACCATCCAACATCACGTTTAAAGATTGGTTCAAGAATTTTTTTATTGCTGGCCCAGAAGTATAAAACAATCTACCAGGCTACTTGCGACAACCTGGTCTCTCCGTCAAGAATTTCAAAAAACTGTTAAAGACTTATCTCTTCGGTCAATGAAACATTTTCTTGACATAAATTGTTTTAATCACTGTTAAAAGCACTTTTGAGATAACAACTTAAAAAGCAAATATTAATACTAATACTAATATACTTATAAAAATTCCCCGCCGTTTGGTATTGATATGTTGTGTTTGTGCCCATATGCTGATATATATATATATATATATGTGTGTGTGTGTGTGTGTGTGTGTGTGTGTGTGTGTATACATCTGGGCACAAACACAACATATCAATTTGAACACCGAAGATGGAATAGGAATACCGAAAAAAGCTTTTCTGTTCTGTCATGCATAAAATAGACAAAAATTTTAGTTTTGAACTAAAGAAACTTGAAAATGATTTACGATCAACCGTTAGAAAAATCGAAAAGTTAAGTTGGAAGTTAACTAACGCCGAACATGCTGTGATTTTCATCAATAATTGCTTTCCTGATAGTCTTGATCCAATATATATATATGTATATATATATATATATATATATATATATATATATATATATATATAACAGAGTGTCTCTTGAAAATCACCACATGTTTTTACGATAATGCTAACAATAGATTATAGATACAAAATATTTATATATAGACGTTATCAACTAATTGTCAATTAGTTATCAATTAATGAAATTTTGCTTCAGTCTGCAGTGTGATTCCTCCTGTTTCATGTGCTCGTTACAAAACACTGCCCTTTATTATTAGCTTTCAGAACGCACTTCGTGATTAGATATGAAAAAACTCAGAAAAAGACAATTATGTTAATCATTGCTTATCAAAATTGCTTGTCTCTTCAAAATTTTCTCTGTTGTGCTATGTTAACTTTTAGAGTCATTTAGTGACGAAGTCAAGAATTTGCTTTGGAAGGGGCTTAAATTTGAATTTGTCACATGAAGTTGACATTTTTTTCCTTATTACATAATTTTTAACATATTTATTTTTAGATATTAAAACCAGTAGTTTTTAACGTAATTTAACTTAATTTGTTGTTGTTGAGAGAGGCTAAAAAGTTTTTAGTTCAAATTTTCACCAATTTGTATTAAAATTTTGTCCTACTTAGCCTAAATCTTATCAACACTTTCCAAAGTTGGGGACTTCAGCCCTAAAGCCTCTTCTTGCGTACGTCTATCTCTAAAACTAAAAATTGTTTTAATCATATACTAAGACAGGAAAGAATCACATTACTGCACCGGTAAAATATTAACTGACTGATTCTGTTCAATTTTGACGGTGAAGTGGTGTAATGTTTAAGGCGTTTGATTCTATGTTACGGTACCGGGGTTCAATGCAAAGAGTGCACAGAAGTCCCCGCCTGTTACATGTAGCATGTAATGCGAGGATAACATAGATTTGCAGCGTTGTGTGTAATGTTAATACATCTTAATAACGCAATAGAGCATTCAAGATTAAAAAATCTTTTCTTCTCGAAATGAAAAAATTTGAATTTTGGTATTAGCAGGTCACTATAGTTAGAAGCTCGCAGTTGGCCTGTGTATTGAATTTAAGAGATTAATTGAATCTACTTCTTCTCTTAGGTAGATTGAAGCATTTCCAACCAGGCAATCTCTTACAAAAAAAACTAGTTTTAATGTTACTCTTTCTGGCATACAAAGCCAGTGTAGCTCATCTTTAACGTATTTATATATTGGATGAATCTTAGAGATAGCTGCGATTAGTCAGGCAGCAGCATTCAAAACACTTTGAACATTATCTTGCTGTGACAAGTTGAGCCCATACATTACCGCGTTACAGAAATCAATCTTATTACAGACAAAGCTGCAGACCAAAGTTTTTGCTGACTCAGCTGTCAGATATCATCTGATTGCTCGTTGTTTGGTTAGCTCAAGAAAGCATCGTCTAAAACGTCGACTGAGATTTCATTGAGAAGCGTGGAGCCAACACGACAACAAAATTTGTCTCTGGGTTATTACTATCTACTTGACGGGCTTTCATTTATTATATCACTTTGTAATTTATAATATGTTGTGGGTCATCTAATTAAACCATCTAATTAATTTCTTTCTTTAGAAATAAACACGTAATTAGTGGAAAAAATTAAATTGAATATTCCGATTGCTTATTCCTTAAGAGTTGTGTAAAATGATCCCATGACAAAGACTCTTAGGAAGGAGAGAGTGAGAGAAAGAGAAGTGAAGAGAGTGAGAGAAAGAGAGAGAATGAGAATAAAAAGAAAGGGTAAAAAAGAAAGAGGACGAATATTAATATATATAACTGAAACTAATATAAGTGTCGTAAATATGTTACATATATTCACCTTGTGACAAATTGATAGACTCACGAGCAGTATATATTTCAACGCTTGCCAACATGTGGTAAACCGCAGTTTGAATCTGCAACGATGAATTGGTCATTAATTCTATGTTTGGCCGGTTTTTTGGTCATAGGAACATCTGAAATATTTGAAAGTACGTGAGTGATTGGTTTTGGGGTGTGTGTGTAAATTTTAATTTCATTGAATTTAGTTTGCTATAGTTTAAAGTTCATCAACGTTTATCAACATAAAAAATTGACTATCATTATTTTTGATAGATTCGATTCTCAAACTTAAAAAAATTTTAGACAATCATTTATTTAAAATGTATCGTCCATAATAAAAATATTTTATAACATAATGCATATTTGCCATCAGCAAAATTATATGAAAATATAAGTATACATTATTAAAGAGCAGTCAACTTTAATTAAATGCATGATTTGGCCGTAAGGCATACAAAATCTAGCTTCGTGCGTTCATTAGATCATTGAAACTAAAAAGATTTTTTGTTGAAATCTATTTTTTATTGTTTGTTTTAAACTAAAAATTTTATCTAAATACAATAAATAAATTACGAACATTATAAATAAATTATGCAACTATTAATTTATTTTTTTGATCATGTCCAGACGAACCTTTCCCATCAAATGAAGAGGACGAAATCGACACGAACGTCCACAAAGAAAGCTTCCTGGCTGGCGGTGCAAACAGTCTCGACGAGCCACACGTCTTTGATCAAGATGAAGATTCAGTAGAAGAAAGTACTCTTGTTGAAAATCTCGCGGGTGAATATAACGATGAAGTTCATGAAAATATCGTTGGAGAAAGGTTTAGCGAGGGAGCAATGAGCGACAGCGATTTGATTGTGAACAACCGCATACCCCACGGCACGTTGGTACCCTACCATTACGATCTCTACATCAGGCCCAACATTCTAACAACACCTCCTTTCTATGCTAATGGCACAGTTAGAGTATACTTCGAGTGCTTGCTGGAGACCAATGTTCTACATTTGAATGTTTTTCATAGTGAGTTTATTTTTTTTAATATTACCGGGTGTCATCACATTTTACAATTTTTACCCGCTATGAAAATCATTCGATGAAAAGTGTTGATAAGCTGAACGCTTGAAAATTTATCACTTTTAACTCTATTTTTATGTTGATCCTTATTGCAGAACTAATGACAGTGGACAAGAACACAATAATATTCATGCTCAGTCCGGATAACACTGTGATTGCTCCTGTTCCGGAATTATTTTCTATAACGAGCCGTCCTGAGATGGATATGCAATCCTATCAAACAAAACGACACTTCATGAAGGGCGCCAAATACATCTTCCAAGCGGAGTACAGAACAACGATGGGCAAGCAGGGGGAGGATGGCTTCTACTGGGACAGCTACGTTGATAACAAAGGAGTAACCAAGTGAACATCTCAACATTTCTATAGTTTCACGTTAACATTATAACTCATTAGTTACTAGACAAGTGTATCGATGAAATGATTTTATTCTTGAAAACATATTCAATCCATTTATAATGAATACGTTTTAATAAATTTAAATTGTCAGGTACATAGCAGCCACGCAGTTGGAGTCTGTGGACGCCCGCAAGTTGTTTCCCTGCATGGATGAGGTCGACATGAAGGCCACATTTGATATCTTCGTTCAGATCCAGGCCAACAAGCACACGGCCCTCTCCAACATGCCACCTGCTAGGAACGTTCTTCTGTAATTACCTTCTGAATTGTTGTCACAATATTGTTAATCATGAAATTAACAAAATAACAAGATGAGCAACTTAGACAAAAATGTTAATGTAATCAATTATATATTTAAAATAAAAATTTAGACCGAGTGGATGGACAGAGGTTCAATTCAAGAGGACCCCTCTGATGTCCACCTACCTGGTCTGCATCATCGTCGGCGAGTTTATCAGGAAGCCCGTCAACACGCCACCTACTATGAAAGTGGGTCGCCGCATGTTTTATCAAGGGATAACAACGGCAAACAACCAATAATTTAAAAAAAATTATTTTTTCACAAAAATCAAGTAAACTAAAAATACTGAAGAAATTATTCTCATTTTAATAACTTTTTCACGCATTGGCATGGTTTCATTGTTTACCTGTTGTTTCAATACAAAAATTTTGTTTTCAATTTTGAAATAATTTAAAACGTGGAGCATGAACGACAAATGTTTGCCAACAACAGACGGCAATAAACTTGTACGCAGTTGAAACTCAGCAGTACAGACTGGAGTTCATGGCCAGGTTTGCTGTGGCACAGTTGCAGAAGTGGTACGACGACACCACCGGCTACCCGTACAGAGAACCAAAATTGGGTCGGTTGATTCAATGTTTGATATCGTATCAACTATATATAATATATATATATATATTTATGTTGGTAATAGACCATAATTTTTACAATAATCTATAAATTCTACCGAATGTTTGGCGTTAATATGTTTGTAGTTCGTTTTTTCGATTTTTCTCACTAAAATTTTTTAGTGAACGTTTAGTTTATTAAAATTCAAAATAAACTTATTTTTCGAATTCATGCTGCAAATAAGGCCATATTTCGATTTCGAATGAATCATCATCAGTGTTCCTTGCTGTATATATAGGGAAATATTGACTTTGTCAAGATGAACTTTGACGTTGTAAAAATTAACTTTGGTGTTGTAAAATTGAACTTTGATGCGAATTAGGTTTCTTTATTGGCTGGTCATCTTCTTTGGTCTCCTTTTCTTCATCGATAGCATCATATTCTTCTTTGTCACTATTTACGATGCTAGTTTTTATTACTTCTTTGTTTTCGTTGTTGGTTAAGCGCCGGGTTGGAAGTGAGGTTGTCATTTTTTGTTGTATATTTATTTTTGGTTTATTGATGTGAATTAGGACCGCTTCTGCAATTTTAAGATGCGTGTAGTTGCTGTTCTGGTATATTACTTTGGTGTTGCTGTCGAGTATTTCACGGCTAATTGTGATTGAGTGTGTTGAGTCCAAACCTGACACCTAATTCGCATCAAAGTTCAATTTTACAACACCAAAGTTAATTTTTACAACGTCAAAGTTCATCTTGACAAAGTCAATATTTCCCTATATATACAGCAAGGAACACTAACGATGATTCATTCGAAATCGAAATATGGCCTTATTTGTAGCATGAATTCGAAAAATAAGTTTATTTTGAATTTTAATAAACTAAACGTTCACCAAAAAACTTTAGTGAGAAAAAACGAACTACAAACATATTAACGCCAAACATTCGGTAGAATTTATAGAATATTGTAAAAATATATATATATATATTGTAACTTTAGATTTTATTTATGCTTTTAAAATATTATAAAGCGATATTTTTTGTTATAAGTTTTTTAAAACTTCGATTATCTTGAATGTAATAAATATTGAACGAGAACAGATCACGTAGCCCTCCCGAACAAAGGTGGAGCCATGGAGAACTGGGGCATCATAACGTACGGCGAGGAACTTCTGTGCATGGATAACGAAACGACATCAATCGTCGGTCTGTTCAACGGGGTCACAATTGTCTCTCACGAATTGGCACACATGGTAATTGGCAAATAGTTTTAGTTATACTTCTTGCAAAAACTTTTTTAGCAAAATATGCCAAATTGATTTAAATTTATTTAACATTTATACAAGTCGAGTTGATATAAAGCAGAAATTTGAAATGTAATCAATATGTCTATTTGAAAGTGGTATGGAAACTTGTTAACATGCAAGTGGTGGGATGATCTGTGGATACAAGAAGGATTCGCCACCCACTACAACTACAACCCCACTGAAGTCCTCGGATGGGATTGGGTACTTTTTTTATTCTCCTCGCTTTATTTTTTTATTCCATTTCAATAAAATTAAATTTTAAAGCAAAATCAGACGCCAAATGTTGCAGTAAGATATTTGAAACAAATCCAAATCGTCACCCACGTCCATCAGATGTTGACGCAACAGTCGGACCAGCGTCGTGGCATTCAGAACTTCATGATCAAGGACCAGAAGAACACCACAGACCCAGTTCGAAAGACCATCCTGACCCCACAGAACTCTGAATCTGCCTTCACTTCCAGCACTTACAACAAGGTCGTTACTAATTTCGCGCCAGCTTGTTCCCTCTGATTTATTTTAATTTTTCTTTTTAAAAATGAAACAATAAAAGATGCGGAATAGACATTATTTAATCACGAAAATATTTAATTATAACTTATTGCATCAAAAATTGTTGTAAAACAACGTGAAAGAATTGAAATATAGAAACATTTGACAGGGAGGTGCACTGATCAGGATGATCCAAGGAATTTTATCGAGGCCTGTCATGAACTCAGCCTACAGCGTTAGTCGTTTTATTCTTCCATTTTTACTAAAAAATTGAAAATAAGGATGAATAGTATTTTTATGTGTAAGTTTTTAACTGTTATCAAGCTGATTAATGAATTTGGAAAAGTATAAAACACAAAACACGTTCATGTTTTTTGTTAAGTTATACAATAGGAGCATATGTGGTTTTGTCCTTATTTTAAATTCACCTTAACAGCCTGTTCATTCAGTGATCATCGAAACAATTGAGTCGCTTCAATGATCACTGATGTAGGTTTCAATGTAATGACGTTGTTCATCACTGAGTGATCTATGATTCAAATTTTACAATTTACCGAATGCTCTAATTATTCTGTTATCTTTATTATGCTGCCCGTAAATATTCCTCGCCACCGACCAACCGCAGAAATATTTGAAGAAATACGCCTACACCAACGTCGTCACGAAGAATCTGACCGATGCCTTGGACGAGGCGAGTTACGTTGTTGCTGTTTGCTTGCTTGCTTGTTTGTTTGTTTGTTAGTTTGTTTGTTCGCTTGTTTGTTCGTTTGTTTGTTCGCTTGTTTGTTCGTTTGTTTGTTCGTTTGTTTGTTCGTTTGTTTGTTTGTTTGTTCATTTGTTTGAGCCTTTCAACGTTTAGCTAACAAGATAAGTATGATTAACTCATTAAAGTAGAAATCATTTGTCTCTGTATGCAATCGTTTCTAATCAACGCATCTTCTATGTTATGTTATTATTATAACTGGTTAGCATCGTGTTTGTTTGAATTTTCTTAACTTAAAAGTTTTACCCATTTTAACATCAGCAAAAACAGTCACAACTTGTATCTTAAATAATTTGGTGATCATTTGAACAATAAATATGAATAATGTTGAATAAGGTACAATTATTTTGTAACAATGACTATATCATCCGCTTTTATTCGTTCATTCATTTATTCGTTCATTCGTTTGTTTGTTTGTTCGTTCGTTCGTTCATTCATTCATGCATTAATTCATTCATCCATTCATTTATTTATTCATTTATTCGTTCATATACATTCATTCATTCATCCATCCAGGAAGCTAAACTGTCCGGAATAACCTATCCCGACAAAAAACCTCTGAAGTTCCAAGTGATCCTGGATAGCTGGCTGAACATACCCGGCTACCCCCTTCTCGAATGCACCAGGCAGACCAACCAGGTTGAAATCAGAGTGACGCCATCACTGTACCTTCATCCGCGCAAGCAGACGCCCATCAGCATCAATAGGACGTTAGTTCAAATCTTGGCCTGCATATCAGTCTCTGCAATGCCGCTGTGACATTTTCGTTTTGACTATGCGTATTTCGTTCGCTGAAGTAATGCCGTCGCTTCAGATAATCTGCCATAAAAACTGCTTTCATTAAAATGATCGACGAGTATGTGAGTCATTATACAGCGCTTTTTAAAATAAATTTTGCAAAAGTATTCTAGAAAAGAAGAAGTACATAGTCATATAAACCAAGCAACTGTTTTAATCTAAAATGATGAGAATGATCATGACTACGATGATGATAGCGATGAGTTTGGTGGTGCTGTTGGGGGTTAAACAAATCTTAATGTTTTAAATAATTCTACTAGTTAAATGTTGAATTTTTTCAAAATAATTTAAAATGATCACCAATAACGTCAAGTGAACATCAGGTTGTTGATAATTTCAGTTACAGCTGGGAGATCCCCATGAGGCTGGTGACCAACCTGAGCCGGCCCATCGATTGGGACGGGGTGCCCTCGCACTGGATCATGACTGGTCAAACAGGTTCGATGGTGATGCTTCTGATGGTGGAGATGATGATTATGATAGTAGTTAAAGTGGTGGTGATGAAATGAAGACTAGAATTGTGCCGATGAAAGCATAAATTTCTAACTTCCTAGAATCAAACTTAACAACTACAAAAGTAATATTTTTGTTGATTGAATATACTGACGATATACATAAGTAGAGTAGCGGTATGAACCCTGGAAACAGCAAGTCTACATTATCTCTGGTTTAGCTTCATTGTACACCGCAGCAATTAATTAATTACACGTTTATTAACATTTCTAAGATTTAATCATGTAATGTTTTTAAAGGCCTAACCATCAGCTCATCTCCGACTCAGTGGTTCATTTTGAATCCAAGACAGCACTTCTACTATAGGGTCTTGTACGACGCCGTCAACAGGAACTTGCTGGTTGGACAACTTCTCGCCGATTATAAGGTCATTATTGCCTTTCTATCGTCTACTATCTACAGTAAGATACACTTTAGGTTGAATTCGCTCTAAACCCTCACAACCCATGACAGAAACAACTTTTAAAGTTTCGGCTTTTTTCATTTTCATATTTTGAAAATTGAATGAATTTTATAATCAAATTAATCTAATTGGAACACACTCGCTATCAACCGCTCGACAGAAAATTCTGCCCGAGACCCGATCGCAACTCATTGACGACAACTTTGATCTGGCCAGGTGAATCAGTTTTTACGTGGCTCTTACAAATCATCAAGTTTTATTTCATTATTAAATTCAATCGGCCAAGAAGTTCATGCTACTTCAATATTTTTCAAACTGTTTCCTAATACGACGCAACCGCACTGCCTGAACAGGAACGGCTACTTATTAGTGACGGATGCCATGGAGTTTACGAAGTACCTGAGCACTGAGCTGGTGTACAATCCATGGGAGGCCACTTTGAGACACGCTCACTTTATCCAACCTTTCTTCAAGAAGGATTTGTCTTATGCTAAGTTCATGGTGCTCCATTAACATTGTTTTATTAACATGATTTTTCAAAATGTGAATTTAAATAATTCTGTGGTTAGTTCGACAGAATTGGTACAATCTGTGAATGAAATGTTTTCAACTTTTGCAGGAGTATTTTAGTTCCAAACTGGAGAAAGTGTTGGATGAGTTGAGGTATGAGTTCCCCGAGCAGGAGACAGTCCTAACAACGTAATGTTTCTCAATTTTCTGATTTGATAACTTTCAAAAACAAAAATATTTATTAAAAAAGTGATTTCATTTTTATTTTTTACTGTTTTATTGTCATCATCATCAGTAACAAAATTATAAATGTTCAACATTTTATCAAATCCTCAACACCGTTCTCATAAACGATCGACACGTCACGTATGCTGTGCTGCACTGCCTTAGATTCTTGAGAAAAGATGCCATCTCATCTGCATGTGCATTTGCCAACCAGAAGTGCCTGCTCTACTCCAGAGATCAATTCAAAAAGTACCTCGCATCTCCAAATATCAACACGTAAGTCAACAACAATTTGTTGATCACACATAGATTTGAAGAATTATTAAATAATGAATTAGAAAAACAAATGCCAACAAACCAAATTAATGCATCCACCAACCATGCCGACATTTGCGAATAATTTAAAAACATCAAGAATCAATGCCAATGCTCTGCCCACGGTCCTATGCCAAGGAATCTTTGATGGAACCTCAAATGATTGGGAGGTGATATGGAACCAGTACAACAAGAGAAAAGTAACTCTCCAAAATTGTATACTTTATATTGAAATTATTTTCACAACTCCAACACAATCACATAAACATCTGGATTCCAATCATTTTAAACTTTTTTTTACCCGATCACTGAATGAAATCCGATGTATGGCTGGTTTTATCTGCACTACCAATTTCAAAATTTGTTAAAGTTCTTCAAAATGTTGCTGCTAATACTGCTGAAAATAACCATCGTATAAGTTTGTCACTCAACAACCTTAAAAGTATGACCATTAGAATGACTCAAAATGGCGATTTTTTATTATTCGTTTTATTGTCAATTATGAAATTTATTGATCTTTACCGTTAAATATTTATTTGTTTTTACATTTTTAGTTACCAAATGAGCGCCAACTTTTTTATTCTTGAACTTAAAACGAATGTGTACATTTTAAAGACATACAGATATGTCCCTCCCAAATTTGTTTGTCCCAAAAGTCACAGAATGCAAAAAAATAATTTATAACAGTAATAATGATAATTTTTTAATTTCGATCCAAATAAAATAAAAAAATAAATGTAATCCAGGTGGTGAACGTGAAAGACGAAAGAAACGCCTACCTCTTCGGCCTCACCTGCACCTCCAACCCTGCTCTCGTAGACAGGTCCGCTTGGTTTTCTATTGATAGTTCCTACATGATTTTCATTTTTTAAATAATAAAAATTAATTAAGTTCACTTGGTGCTTCATTTTTTAATGAAATAATCGTTATTCAGATTTTTCAACGATTTGGTGATGAATAAAACGTTCCGTTCGCGAGATGTCAGTCAAGCCACATTGTACCTGGCCGCCAACGAACGTGGGGCACAGAAACTCTTCGACTACTTGGACAAGAGCTGGGAGGACAAAAGTGTAATGTTGGTAATATTTTGCTCTATTTTTGCTATATATTCAATCAATCAATCCATTTTGTTTCTAAAGCGCCATTTCCGCGATGTTCAACAGCGCTCCTCAATGAATTTCACAAACATTGAAATGTTTTTTCGCTAAAAACAGGGCCAAAACCGCTAGAAACTTATATTTTATGAATGTGTAGAAGTGGTAGAATGGGTAGAAACAAGCGATGGTAGACTAAATTGAGGATAACTGAAATAAAACTAAGCATAATAAAATTTATACAACGTAGATCAGTTGTTAAGTTAGTTATTAAATAAATGCGGGCATTACTTTTTTGCTATTGCAAGGTAGATTTCTTGTAGGTTAGTTTCAAACAGTTTGGTTAAAAATTTAGAATAAAAACTGACAAACAAGAGGTTGCATGGATCTGAGAAATTGAGCCAAGGCATGTCATTAGCAAATTTGAAATGTTAGCAAAAAGTACTACGACGACAGATTTTTAATTTGATTTCTAATTTCAGTAAAAGAATTTTTGATAATTTTAACTTTTACCTCTATAACCTGAAGAGTCAGCCAAAATAAAAACGATTACAATGATGTAGGAGAAATTGTGGAATGTAATTGTAATTGAATCTAGGGCTTTTCATCATTTCATATATCTTACGCTCCAACTGAACTTGTAAACTCTTATTACGTGTTTCTAATAGGTACATTATTAACTGGCCCGATAATTTTAACTTTTCAGCATTCCCAAGACCTCAACAATTACAGCAATAACAAACAGCTGGTACACGAACGATCAACTGAATAGGGTTAGTTGGGTTATTATATAATAGGTTGTCTATAGGTTGTCTATAGGATGCCGAGGTTTTTTCCGTTTTAATAGATCAATTTTAATTCAGTTTTTATCTCTATTTTAAATGTGTTATATATATATATATATATATATATATATATATATATATATATATTCATTCACTCGATAGAAAGCTGATTTACTCTCAATTACTTAATTGATTGGAATGTCTTATTTTCTTTTCTTAAAACATCCAGTTAAAAGTTTTCATCCTGAATAGAAAGAATCTGTCGAACAATGAGAAGCAGCAACTGATCCAAGCAGTCTTACAAGTTGAACTCAATAGGGACTTCTACGCCAAAAATTCTGCACCACTTGACAAATGGTTGAAGGATAACGTCAAGCCGAAAAGCAGGTCCACCATAGAGTACATGAGGAAAGGAGTCGATGAGTCAGCAGGAACGAAACTGAAGAACATGCAGAGGAGAGTTTTTTCGGTGGGAGGAGCTGTTCACAATTATTGGAATCTTTTGCAGGAATCTTACTACGCTGAGAAAATCGGCAGGATTTATCGGGAATAAATAAATAGGTACAACACTACATGTTGGTAATGTCACAATTGGGAATTCCCAATTGAAAAATCACTTTTACTCGGTGATTATAGACATATCTATTTTTAAACATGCAAATGAACATATAATTGATTAATAGAATTGATAATCAACAAAATTAAATTTATTAATATTCAAAGTTGAAACAGATTTTATTTTAAATTGAATTAAATGTTTATTGAACTTTTTCTAAATTAAGCAAAAAAATCTTTTCAATAAATGTGTGATCATTTAATTTTAATTTATAGATAGCTTGAATGTTTTAGTCAATTTAACAAAGTTCCAACTTTAATAAGCCATCGCAAAACTTTATTCGTAATATATGAAAAAAACAAGAACGTTGACAAAAAGTTGACCCAATTTTAATGAGGTCACTTCAATCCAGGTGTCATTTGGTTGGTCGATCAATCCTCTACTGCTGATCTGTTTGAATAATTGGATGTATGGCTGGTTTGATGTCTGGTTGATCAGATGTTTGATTGCGTTGGATGTATGGTTGATAGGATATCTAGTTGATTGTACGTGTGGCTGATTGTATATCTGGTTTGATTGAATATCTGGTTGATTGTTTCATTGTTATACTATTTGGTTGATCAGACGTAAAATTATGTAAAAAAAATGTGAATTATTTTCAGAAAATCAGGTTAAAATATTGCGTTAAAACATTTTCAAAAAAGTACAAGTTAATGAAAAATTTTTAATTAAAATTTCACAAACACGTTATCAATAATTCAAGATAAGAATGTTTAACAGAGAACAATATAATTTGAAAAATATAATTTTAAACATTTTGGCTTTTTGTTACTAATGTGCAACGCAGTTATTTCGAACAAAAAATTATTTTTAATTATCAGATAAAAATTTAATTGGAAATGAAAAGGTTGGTTGGCTGACTTGAATTCCCTGTCCGATATCTTGACCGATTGCGACGAAGCAAATTATTTTATACCTCGGATAGTCAAAACTTTTAACGTATTGTCTGACTTCATCTGCCAGCCTCCTAGCCACAAACATGCTGTTGATGTCGCACGTGTTGTCGACAGCTCGTGCGCTTGTTGTTGTGTTTGCAGTCGAAGTGGATAAGATGGCTAGACGATCGTCGAGAAATTTTTTAAGACTCTGAAAACAATTTAATGTATCTAAAACTTAATATGTATCTAAAACTTATTTCGTATCTAAAAGTTATTTGTGTGTAAAGCTTATTATGTATTTCAATTTTTCTATAATCGTTGCTGACAATATTTAATCAATTATACAAAACGTAGAGTGTTGCAAGTTGTATGCAGAACGATGATGCCAACAGAGTGCGTGAGTGTATGCAAACTATCAAATCAGACCTGTCTCATTTGGCAACTTACTTCCATGTAATAATGAAGACTTAAAATGACCTTTACACTTCATTTAAAATTATTGGTCTGCAAGTAATTAAAAATTTACCATTTTCGTGTTTTTTGTGGTCATTGTTTCCATTATTTTTATTATTTATCACCGATTAAAGTGAATTACGAGTCACCTGTTCCACCGTGGCGAACTGCGGCTTCCTGCAAGGTTCCAACCTGTAAGTGTTTTCGTACCTGACCAATGTCCTGCCAATCATCTGCTGGTTGTGCGACCATTCTGTCCTCAAACTGTGCGCCAAACTTGTTCGCCTCAGAGAAACTCGTCTGCTGTTGTAGTGATGTGGCAAGTTGTAGTTGGATTGGCTGTCTTGAGCGATCGATGTACGCCGACTTGGCATTTTTGCTTTGAAATTTTGTTGCTGATTGTGAAAATGCTGATGGTTTTTCAGCTGTTGTTGATGTTGCAGCGGCGCAGTTAGATGTTTGTGGATGTTATTTGATGTTTTTTTTCTTGTTGCTTTTGTAATTAGTGAGCCGCTACCGGCTGGTCAATATTTACGTTACGCTCTGGGTTGCTTACATTTACAAATAATTGTGAATTTGCATAAAATTTTACAAATATTGTTTCATTTCAGTGAGTAAAAGTTTATAATTTAAATTTATTTGAACTCTTCAACTATTAAAAAATTAAAACATACGATGATTTCAAGTACCGCTTGCGGTCAAAAACTGGCTTGCATTTTAAAAATTATTCGAGTTTTATTATCCAATTTGAGGTGATTCTTCAGGATGTTTAAACTTGGCAGTGTTAGCAAATTTGTGGTTATGTGGTCTTGCTCGTGAGTTCACTTCAAATAATCAAATAATTTGCTAGATTTAAACACACGTTATCAAACTGTTGCTTCTGTTGAGTTGGAACGAATGATGGTGACAAGCAAGTAGCCGGCAGTACTGAACTTTCTGAAAAGTTATCTCCGTTGGCTCATGTGTTGATGTGTTGAAAGCATTAGAAGCATCAGACGCTTTGTGCGTCAGCTCTCTTCACAAAGCACGATTGAATTCAAGTTTGGACGTACGATAAATGCTGCTTGGCCAATTTAAACCGCATTAAAAATTGAAATTTTCATATTTGTATTATAATATAAAACCTTCAACGATTAAAAAATTTCCACGAAAATAATGGTACCCGTAAAACTAATGATATCTAACCAAGACAATTGCTTTCATTCGTGGACGAATATGTATTTCAATATTTTGATATAACCTCACGAAAAGTGAATACTAAACAATCTTTTATCAGCTGCGTGTGAATGTGAATGTGTGTGCCACGGCATTTATACGAGACTGTTGAGTTTGTGATAACCATGGAAACTTGTCCGCGTAACACGGCAGGTTTGATTAGATATCAGTGAGTGAATGAGTGAACGAATGAGTGAGTAAATGAATAAGGGAGTGAATGAATAAGTGAGTGAATGAATAAGTGAGTGAATGAATGAGTGAATGAATGAATGAGTGAATGAATGAGTAAGTGAATGAATGAATGAGTGAATGAATGAGTAAGTGAATGAATGAGTGAGTTAATGAATGAGTGAAAGAAACGTGTTATTAAATATGTGGTGTTTAAACGAACCGAACTGAAGTGCAATATTAATATACTTGCTCGTATCGTGTGATTTATGACGCTAATTCTATGAACGTCACATCCCTATCATGTTGACTGCATGGGATAAATTTTTTTTATTTTTGATTCACTTTTATTCTCCTCATATTCTTGGCAATAATACTAAAATTAATAATATTTTGATATAATATAAAATAGATTATAAATAATAAAATCATAATAAAAATAATAAAATCATCCCACAAGCCTATACAGTATATTTTAAACAACACGTGATGTTATGTTATGTTATGATTATTGCCATTTTAATTTCATCAAGTTTGTCATAATAAAGTTTATAGAAATTTAAAAATTTCAGAGTCATTTTTGATTTTTTAGCGCGTTATAATATGCAGCAGACGTCAGTTTTGTAATTGTGATCGATCAAATTAATTCATCTCTTCAATTTCAAAATAAATTCACCACTGGTACATTTTACCGTGATTAAGACTGTGATCAAAATCGCATTCTATATATTATTATTATTATTATGCTGAATTATCCATTATTTTAATCTTTTAACTAATTTAATAATAATTGATCATTTTATATTTAATTGTAATTTTTATTTATATTTTGGCTTTTGAAGAAATAAAAGAGTTCTCATTATTATTATTACGTAACAGATGCAATTGTAATGCACTCATAAATCGAAAGCGATTTTGCCATGAAATTGGGAGGGATGGAGTTCAGTTGTTATCGTTGCTGATGATGAGGATGATGATGAGGAGGAAGAGGATGACGATGATGCTGTTGTTGTTGTTGTTGATAATGATGGTGTTGATGATGACGATGCTGATGATAGTGTTGATAACGATGATGAAGACGATGATGATGACGATGATGAAGACGATGATGATGAAGATGATGACGATGATGATAATGATGATTATAACGCTGTCTGATTATGACTTAAATAACATTAACATTCCTGATAGCAAGAATGATGACATCGTATATATATATATAGAGAGAGAGAGAATATATATATGGATGACATGATGATGAGTGTAGTTAAAAACTGAAGGAGTATTCAGGCGGATTGCATAACGATTTCATCTCGATCGGTTGGAGTTCGTTTAAAATTAGCGCAAGCCACATGGCGACAGACTGCTGTATAACTACTTGAGCTGCAAAGAATAACATTATTAACAATTAAATGAAAGAATTAACGAATAACAAATTCTAAACAATTAGTCTTTCTGGGAAATGAAAATAAAATCAAAACTAAACGAAGCAAAAGCGTATACAGAGGAAAAGAAACAGAAAAATAGAAAGAGGAAAAGAGATTTTAGTGGAAGAGAGAGAGAGAAAGAGAGAGAAAGAAAGAGAGAGAGAGAGGAGAGAGTTAGAAAAATGAGAGAGAGAGAGAGTGAGAGAAAAGCCAGATGATGAACAGACAGATGAAGACAAATGGGCAGACGATCAGACAGACGAAGTCTGATGGAGAGACAGAAAGATGAAATTAATAAATCGTGCGCCATTATTTCATTAAAAATATTTTTAATATGATTTTAAATAGATCATGTGGAGGCATTCGTTTGGACGGACTGATTAATTGGAATGTGAAATCAATGGAAATCATTTGAACGTCGTCACTGACGTATGCCGCATGGCTTGGTCGTGTAGCTCCATTGTTATTAATGTAGCTATTAAAGTTTTTATTGCAGACTGTCATTAATGCTGTCATTAATCTTGGCGTTGATGTTCATATAAATGTTGTGGTAAGTTTTTTTCATTTATGTTATTAATGTTTTTAGAAACTCAGTTTAGTACAAGGTTCTAGGTTGTTGCTTGTGTTGCGCATACTAAAAAATGTTTCTAATGTATTTTATTATTTTCATAACCATTTTCCTTGGTAGTTCAATTTAATAATTTTTATAGAGTATAAACATATTTGCGCTGAAAATAAACTTGAACATTTATTTATATCTTAATTTTGATTATATTCCGATCATATTTTCATCATCATTAAAAAAATTAACCTCTTGTTAGAAATATTCATTTTTAGTTGACAGTTCAATTTTTTTTTACAAGGAGTCTGAGTTATTGTCCGCAGTCAAAAGATTCATCATCATCGCTGTCATCATGATCATCGTCATCATCGTCGTCATCATTATTATCGTACGTTGTTATCAAACCACCATTCCAGTCAGCCAGTCACATCAGCACTCGCCCTATTGTTGTTATCAATTTTATTTTAATTTTTGTTGTTATCATTATCATTAAAATTATTATTATTATTATTATTATTATTATTATTATTAGTAGTAGTAGTAGTAGTAGTAGTAGTAGTAGTAGTAGTAGTAGTAGTAGTAGTAGTAGTAGTAGTAGTAGTAGTAGTAGTAGTAGTAGTAGTAGTAGTAGTAGTAGTAGTAGTAGTAGTAGTAGTAGTAGTAGTAGTAGTAGTAGTAGTAGTAGTAGTAGTAGTAGTAGTAGTAGTAGTAGTAGTAGTAGTAGTAGTAGTAGTAGTAGTAGTAGTAGTAGTAGTAGTAGTAGTAGTAGTAGTAGTAGTAGTAGTAGTAGTAGTAGTAGTAGTAGTAGTAGTAGTAGTAGTAGTAGTAGTAGTAGTAGTAGTAGTAGTAGTAGTAGTAGTAGTAGTATTGCTATATTATAATTACACACCACACGAACACATACACGCAACGCACACATATACATGCAACACACACACACACACAAACACACATACAATCTACACATATACTCAGAACACACACATAAACATGTAGTTTAATAAGTCTAAAAAAGAATTACTTTGTACTAAATGCACTTACGTAAATATTTAAATTGTGACAACTGACAACGGAAGTAATTTAGCAAAGAATAAATAATATAAAACCATCAAATAACCCAGCAAAGAATAATAAATTTACGATATGAATGTTAATGTGTGTGTGTGTGTGCGAATGTATGTGTGTTTTTATTTGAAGCCAGTTGTTACAATCATTTTAATTCATAAATGGCTGATGTCTAGGAGACGTGGTAATTATGATGAAGACAAGGATGAACGATGATGATGATGATGAAAAGGAAGATGATTAAGACGGGATGATGAGGAAGATGATGTTGTTGTTGATGATGATAATGAAAATGATGATGAGGAAGAAAATGATGATGATAATGATGAAGAAAATGATGAGGATGAGAATGAAGCGGATGATGATGAGGAGTAGGATGAGAATAAAAATGATGACAATGATGATGTTGGTAATAATAATGTAAATTATGTAAAAGAGAGTGAGGGTGATGATATGATGATAATAATTACTATTACAACAATAATGATGATGGTGATGATGATGATGAGAATGAGGATGATGAAAATGAGGATGATGATGATGATGAGAATGAGGATGATAAAAATGAGGATGATGATGATGATGAGAATGATGATAATAAAAGGATAAAGTTTTGACAAAATAGTAGGAAGATGTTACAGGTAATATATTTGATGGTCATTGTATAATACAAAAATACGAATTCTGTTTTTAGTAACTCTTATGATTTTCAAAATAACTTAATGCTATTAACTGTTAAGGTTGATGTTAATTAGTGAAATTTAATGACTGATAACGATGATAACGACGCTGATGATGTTGGCAGTGTGTGATGACGAAGATTGGGTTGATCTACCTTCTCAACGATGGCTAGTAGAAATATGACTGGCTGACTGACTAGAGTGAGTACAACAAGACGCTCTTTGTTTAATGTAATCATTTTACTATTATTATTATTATTTTATTATATTATTGTTATTATCATTATAACTCCAAACAATATAAAATATCTAAATATTCTAATTTGCACAATAATTTACTTGACGATTTTAAACATTTAAAAATGAACACTTAATGAACACTTTTGAAATTTCGCCACTAGGCTTTTCTAAGTATTTTAATTTGACATTAATCGACTTAACTTGGTCTGACCAATTTAACAATAGTCTCATGTACTCTGCAATATGCAAACAATTTTACTTTTATTAAAAACAAAAGATCAACACGGACAAACGATAAACAACCCGGAACAAAATCTGGGTATTACAGGAGTTACAACTTAATAACAGCATTCAAGCAAATTAAACAAAAACATCAACAACATCATCATCATCAACAACAACGAAAACATCACCAACACAGAAATAACAACAATATCAACAGCAACCAAAACAACAAAACGTCAACAGCAACAACAACAATAACAAGAACAAGAACAACAAAAACATCAACATTAACAAAAAAAACAACAACAGCAGCATCGAAAACAACAAAAACATCAACATAAATAACAACAAAAACAACAACATCAATAACCATAACAACAGCAACATCAACAACATCAGCAAAAACATCAGCAAAAACAACAACAACATCATTATCCAAACAGTCCTGCTCGACTTGATTATCAAGGCGCCATCTGTCCTATATGCGGTCAGTCAGTAAGAAATTATATGTGGGTTGTATTATGTGGACGTGTGGTGGCGTGTGTGCGCGTGTGTTTGTCTGTGTGTTTTTGCGTGGGTTGGTCTGTGCGTTTGTCTGCCTGTCTTGCTGGTGTGCTTGTGTTTAAGTCTGTTGTGTGTATTGTTAAGTATGTTTCGATGTGAGGATGTACGTGTTGTTGAATGTGCGTACTCGAAGACTGAATGACTGGTGTGTGTGTGTGTGTTTGTATGTTATGTGTTTGTATGTATATGCTTGTATGTATGTGCTTGAATGTATGTCTATGTATGTATGTTAATATGTATCTATGAATGTATGTATGCATGTGTGTTTGTTTGTATGTACGTGCTTCTATGTATGTGCTTGTATGTATATACTTGCATGTATGTTTATTTGTATGTATACATGCATGCATGCATGTATGTATGTATGTATGTACGAATTGAATGTATGTATGTATGCATGCATGTATGTATGTGTGCTGTTCGTCTGCTTCTAAGGACGTTGTGTTGTGAGTTGTGACTGCAACACATTTTTGCACATATTTGATCAATTGTACTTAAGATTATTTGTATGTCTGCGTGAATGCATGTATCTGCAAAACATATAAAAAGTGCGAATGTGTAACATGCATGAATATGTATGTGTGAATGAATGTATGTGTGAATGAGTTTATGTGAGCAAGTATTAATGCATGAATGTATGCATGCATATATGAATGTGCTTCTAACTTTTATGAATATAATCCATTTGAATATAATTAATATATAAATGTATGTATGTATGAATGTATGCATGCATGCATACGTGAATGTATGCATGTGAATGTGAATGTATGCATGAATATGTGTATGTATGTACTCGTATGAGCATGTTTGCTTGTGTGAATGTGTGTGAATGTGGCATTTCATCCTTGCTTCTGATTGATTTTTTAATGAGAAAATTTTCTCATTGCAGTTTAATAGCTTGTGTACATATCATATATAAACATATATATATATATATATATATATATATATATATGTGTGTGTGTGTGTGTGTGTGTGTGAGGATATATATATATATATATATATATACAGGTATATATATATACAGGTATATATATATATATATATATATGTTTATTTTTGTTTGGCTTAGTCACGACCTATCAAATGATCAGAGAGATGAGCTGAAAAAGTTGATCAATGATGCAAAAAAGCAGGAATCTGTAAGCGGTGATTTTTTATTCAGAGTGAGGGGACCTCCGGGAAGATGGAAAATAGTCAAGTGTCGGAGGGATCAAAAACTGAAAGAAAAAGTTTGATTGAGAGAGATGGCACTGATGATAGCGTTGATGATATTGATTTTGATGGAGTTAACGTTGAAAGTTGTTTTAGATATGCAAATAATAAAAGCCATTATGGTAAGTATCAATATAAAATCTCAAGTCTTGATGTGTGTGGTGAAAGGGGTTGTAACAATAAAAATGCAATAGGTGAATTTCAGTATGTTGAGGATGATAAAATCAACGAAAGTTTTAATGAAGCATCTGGTAAAGGTAAACCTGCTAAAATGGGAAATGAGGAGCGATCGGTGGTTCTGGGAGTTTTAAATATCAGATCTATAATAACAAAATTCAGCTCTATTTATGGTTTGATTCACGAAGGCCTAGACATCTTTGTTTTGACGGAGAGCTGGCATGGTTCGGCAGATAATATTTCCATTGGGTTATCAATGCCACCTGGCTATTAGTTTGTAGACCGTTTAAGATCGCACGACCCACATCATGGAGGTTTAATCATTTTTTTTCGATCAATTTTTAGATATAAAAAGATCACTCTGCCACTGGTTACTGCTTTCAAGGTTCTGGCGGTGAAACTTAAAATTAATGAATTAGATTATATCCTACTGGCAATTTACAGACCTGGATCTGAACAATTAACGACATCATTTTATGATAAACTGATTTCGGTCTTAGAATGTGTTACAATCATTAGTTCCCGTATTTTGTTAGCGGGAGATTTTAACATTCCCATGGAGAAGTCGAACAATCCAAACGTTGTTAATTTACGTGAAATATTTGAAATGTTTCAGTTGATCAACCAGATAGATGAACCAACGCATATTCTAGGAGGAACGCTCGATCTGATTGTGACGTCACACAATATAGCTGTCAGTGAAGCAAAGGTTTATCCTAGTGGAATCTATTCTGATCATGGTTTGATACAGGTTAGTTTATCAATAAAATTGACAAAGTTTCTGAAAGCAAAAAAATTGATCCGACTCTGGAATCGTTTTGATGAGAAAGCTTTCGCTGAGCAGGTACTTGAGTCTCCAGTATCCAGACCGTGTAAAACTGATGATGTAAATGCAGAATTTGGTTTATTCAGTGACGAGGTAAGGAGAATTGTTCAGTGGTTTGATGATGATTGCAAGGCTTCAAAACGGAAATCTAGAAAAAAAGAAAAAATTTTTAGAAAAAGTTGTAAATTGTCTGATAAAAATGAATGAATATTGGCCCTTAAAGAAAAAACTGAAATTTATTCAAACAAACGTAAAGTATATTGGAAGAAAGTTGTCAATGAAAACAGTAAAACTCCAAAAAGCTTGTGGAGGGTGGTTAATAAAATTTTTCTAAACAGTCACAGTGAAGGCACTAAACGCGAACTCAATGATCTCAATGCTGGCCAGTTCGTGACTTTCTTTAATGAAAAAATTAAAGTGATAAAACAGGGGATTGACACTGAAAATCAATCTTGTCTTAACAGTGATGATCATGGATGTCAGCAGTTGTTTTCGACTTTTCGGGCGGTGTCTGAGGCTGATGTCAGGAAAAAAGTGCTTCATTCACCTACAAAGTCCTGTCAACTAGATATTTTACCAACGCGTTTTTTTAAAAAGCATTTTGAATTGTTTTGTCCATTTATAACCAGTTTGATAAATCTGTGCATGAGGGTAGGCTGCTTCCCCACACCTTGTAAGCATGCAATTGTTGTGCCGTTGTTGAAAAAAAGTGATGCAGATCCAGATGACGTCAGTAATTATCGACCAGTCAGTAATCTGTCATTTATATCAAAACTCATTGAAAGAATGGTGTCGAGACAATTGCTTGCTCATTTGAATGATAATAGTCTCATGCCTGCACATCAATCCGGTTTCAGACGATTTCACTCCACTGAAACTGCCCTGCTGCATGTTCTCTCAGGGGTTTATGCTGAGATGGATGCTCAAAACATTTCCTTGTTGGCATTTTTGGACATGAGCTCGGCTTTCGACTGTGTCAATTATGAAATGTTACTGCTCAGGCTACATCAAAATTTTGGAATATCTGGGGAAATAATAAATTGGCTCAGAAGCTACTTGATTGGCCGAACACAGCAGGTTTCGTTCAACGGGAGTTTGTCCTGCGTCACTGTGGTTTGCTCTGGTGTGCCGCATGGATCTGTTTTGGGTCCTTTATTGTTTCTGTTTTATACATCTGATGTGCTGAAGATAATTGATTCATATGATTTTAAAAGCCATGCATATGCGGACGACATTCAAATTATGTTATCAGGCAAACCGAAGTTATTTCAAGACGAGATTACGAGATCCATTGAATGTATGGCGGAGGTTAATCTGTGGATGTCGAGAAATGAATTGAAGCTTAACCGGGCTAAAACAAAATTTCTTCCTATTGGTACCTGGCAGCAGTTGGCGGACTTGGATATAAATTCAGTTGTTATGAATGATAAAAAAATAGATTTCTGTAAAGCAGTGTCGAACCTAGGTTTTATAATTGATTCAAACCTAACAATTTAAAGATGATCTCTTTATCATGCTTGGCACAGATTAGAAGAATGAAACGAATTCGAAAATCACTTGATAAAGACGCAATGCAGACTCTGGCGCATGCGTTGGTGCACTCACGTGTCGATTATTGCAATAGTTTATTTTATGGACTCCCGGCTAGATCCATCAAAATTCTGCAATCGATACAAAACCGTACTGCCTAAATTGTGGCTGGATGTCGATGGTATGATCATGCCACACCGATCCTGAGTGAGTTGCGTTGGTTGCCCATAAATAAAAGAATTGTTTTAAAATCTCTGTCACAGTTTTCAAATCACTAAATGATCTGGCTCCAAAATATTTATCAGATAAACTAAAATTAAAAACGTCGATCGCATCTGGTGTGCGTCTGAAGTCTGACGATTCGAACATTCTTGTGGTTCCTCATAGACAGCTAAAGATTGGATCGCGTGATTTTGCTGTGTCAGGCCCTGTCGTATGGAACGGCAAAATCAAATGGTGTGCGATTAGTTTCTGCTAAGTTGGCAATAAACCATAGAATTGATACAGGTAGTATAATTACCATGATTGTTGAATATAAGTAATTTGATATTATAGAAATATCTATAGATATAGATACTATTAATGCGGCTAATAGAATGAGTGTTATTCTGATTTCATATGAGATTGTTTGAGCTACCCTACGTAATGCCCCTAAAAGGGCATATTTAGAGTTTGATCTTCATCCAGCAATAAATGTAGTGTATACATTTATTGCTGAAATACATAGGAAATATAGAATTCCAAATTGAATTCAAAATGCAGTGTTTTGATGTGGGAAGATCCTTCATATCATTAATGATAGGAATAGCGCTATAATTGGGGCAATAATAAATGAGGTTTTATTAGCATTGGTTGGGGTTAGTTGCTCTTTTAAAAATAATTTGATAGCATCAGCAAATGGTTGCGGAAGCCCCATGAAAATTACTTTATTAGGACCTTTTCGAAGTTGAAAGTACCCTAGTAATTTTCGTTCAAGTAGTGTGTAAAATGCTATGGCTATTAGGGCTATAAGTATTCTAATAATAAAAGATATTGAAGCTGATAGGTTCATTAATATGAGATTTTATTCATATTTAGGGTTTAAACCTAATGCACTACTCTGCCATCATATTAAGTTATTAAATGATTCGAACATTTGTTTTAGATTTTCAAAATCTATTGTTTCCTAAACAATAGATTTGTTCATATGAACAAATCTATTGTTTAGGAAACAATAGATTTGTTTCCGTCAGCCCTCAAAATGCCTGGAATGAACATTGCTGAATTTAAAAGACAATTAAAGACACACCTTTTTTCATTATAGTTCATCTCTTTTCATTCTTGCTATTTTGTTATTAATATTAGTTATAATTTGATAGAGTTTGTGAAAACTGCTATAACGAACGCTATATTAAGTTTTCTATTAATAATATATATATATATATATATATATATATATATATATATATATATATATATATATTTACAATATTCTATAAATTCTATAAATTTGGTGAACGTTTAATAAACTAAACGTTCACCAAAAAACTTTAGTGAGAAAAATCGAAAAAACGAACTACAAACATATTAACGCCAAACATTCGGTAGAATTTATAGAATATTGTAAAAATTATGGTCTCTTACCAACATATATATATATATATATATATATATATATATATATATATATATATATATATATATATATATATATGATGGGATGTGCTTACGTTGAATGTGTTTTGGATGTGAGGAGATGTGTGTGTTTCGTGTGTTTCTAATAATTTGAATCTATTTATAATTATTGTGCTGGTGGTTGGGTATTTATCTGTTGGTTGTTCTGAATTATATGTTATCGTGCATCTTCTGAGCGTATTTGTGCGTGATCGGTGTGGATAAAGTGTGGATGAATGTATCTATGATTTGGTTTAAAATGGTTGCTGTTTGGTTCTTATATGGTTGTTACACTACTTTGAGTGATTGGGTATGGTCGAGAGTATATGTGTGCATCTGTGCATGAATTTGAAGGATTTATCTGTTTTGTTTTAGTTCTTTTTACAATGTATACTTATGTTTATTTTCGAAATATTTATGTTTTTGTTTGATTACTTAAAAGGACAAAAATTTTTTTTAGTTATGTTGGATAGCGACTTTGCGTAGTTCTATAAAAGTCGCTATACAAGTTTTCGTATAATATATATATATATATATATATATATATATATATATATATATATATACATGCATAAATGTATGCACATACAATCTATATATATGTGCAGGTATATATAGTTGTATGTGTGTCTTTGTACTCGTGTCTTTGGATGTTTGTTAATGGTGTTGATAACGTTGATATTTGTTGATTTACGATGTATTGTACGTGTTCACGTTTATGCTGTTGTTGTTTGAATATTTGTTGTTGTTGCTGCTGTTGTTTTGTGTTTTGTTGTTATTGCTATTTTGTGTTGTTGATGTCCAGCAGTTTTCAATGTTGCTGATGTTGTTGTATTATGTTAATGTTTGTTGTCTAATGTGTAAACTTGCCCTTTTATTTGTGTATGCTGTTTTTTATTTTATTTTTTTTTGTTCATCATCGTTTGATGTTGGTTTTGTATGTCTGCTCTTGTATCTTTTTGTATATTGTTTGTTGATGTATGTTGTTGTATGCTTTTATATGTTTTCTGCTGGATGTCTGTCTTTGTTGATGCAAATGGGTTATATTTATTTAGATTCGTACTTTGCAATGAAGCCACATTAAGGCAGGAATATTTTTTGAAGTCCAAATAGTTTTTGAGTTCGTTGCATTTTTCTACGCCCTTACGTAATGTATACTTCTGTCTTGTCGGTCTGCAAAAAAGATTTGTCGGTTTATGTAGGTTTATGTGTGTGTGTGTGTGTGTGTGTGTGTGTGTGTGTGTGTGTGTGTGTGTGTGTGTGTCTGTGTATGTACAAATTTTTGCTTGTGAGAATGTTTGAGTGCATGTCGCAATGAATGTATGTGATCTTTCAGTTGTACGCATTTTAAGGTGCTGAAATAGGAAAGTATGGATAAAAAAGTTGTGTGGGTGCCATGCAGTTTGCTTATGGAAGGGCCATGTGAAACTCTTCATGCGCTCAATATAAAAAGATTCATTTTATATACAGAAGATAAATGCTTAGAAACGTAAATTAATAAAAAAATCATAACAGCAACAACAACAACAATCACGACAACTATAACAACGACAATAAAAACAACAATAACAATGATAGTGGCTATAATGACGTATTCGTGTATGAACGAATATAAAAAGAATACCGTTTCAAAATCAAATAAGAGCAGTACCTAGTTGAACAATGAAGAATGAAGCAGAGAGCATACTAAACACCAAACTAGGCTCGCGTAAAAGAAAATTCAATACAATTGTCTGCAAACAACAAAAGATATTAAATAACATCAATATAAATATCAAAACAAAACAGCAAACACGACAACATAAAAGCAAACAACAACAACAACATACAAACAAACAATTACAAACAAAAAACACCATACAAACAAACAATAACAAACAAAAACAACATACAAACAAACAATAACAAACAAACAACAACATACAAACAAATAAGGCAAAGAACAAAAACAACATACAATCATTGACAGCAAATAACAAACAACGACAACTTACGAACAACAAACACACAAACAATAACATACAAACAAACAATAACAAAATACAAACAACAAACAAACATACGCACAAACAAATAAACAAACAAACACCAAAAAACAAACAAACAAAAATTAACAAACGTCAAACAACAAGCAACAATTAACATACAAACAAGCAACAAGCAAACATCAAGAAAAAAAACACAAACAAACAACAACAAGTCAACAAACATACAAGCAACAAAAACATTTAAACAAACAAACAAACAAACAATTAGACACATAAGCACCAAAAACATCCAAACAGTCAGTCTAGAATTGTAAAGCAGTTGGCGCCTTTGTCTCCGCGAGAGTTCCTTTAGGAAAATAACAAACAAAAACAGAATGTAGTTTAGATAATTAGACACAATTAGCAATGTTCGGTTTTTTAACTTGTATTTTTAATAATAATAATAGCAATAATGATAATGATAATATTAATAATAATAATAATAATGATGATGATGATGATAATAATAATAATAATAATTATAATAATAATAACAACAGATTACAACAATTATAATGAAATTACAGGCTAAAGCGCAAAGACTTAGAAGATATACTAGACGTAGTGATCAGTTTTTACAAAATATAATGTTTAATAATAGTAGCAAAAATTTTTACAGAAAAATAAAAAACAAGAAAGAATAAAGTACTGATCCTCCTTCATTGACAGAAATTGATGGCTTCTGGAGACAAATTCTAGAAAATAGGGTATATCACAGAAATGAAGCAGACTGGATTACAGATGTAAAAAGATCACTTAATCATTTGGAGGAAAGTAAATGGAAAGACCTCACACTTGATGAAGTCACTAAAGCTATTAAAAAATCTTCAAATTGGAAAAGCCCAGGACCAGATAGAATACAAAACTTCTGGATTAAAAAACTATCAGGGATTCATCCTGCATTAACAGAGGCTTTCAATGCAATAATTAAAGATGCAACACTTATACCACAATGGCTGACAGAGGGAGTGACGTATTTATTGTCCAAAGGATCAGACACTAGAGACCCTAGCAAATATAGACCAATAACATGTTTGCCAACGATGTTTAAAGTTCTCACCAGTACTATAACAGAAAAAATATATGACTACCTACTTGCGAATGAACTGTTTCCTCCAGAACAGAAAGGATGCAAAAGATCTTCGAGAGGATGTAAAGATCAGCTTATGCTAAACATGGCAATTATCAGATCAGCAATAAAAGAAAAAAGAAATCTAAATATAGCATGGATCGATTATAAGAAAGCATTTGATAGTGTCCCACATTCCTGGATTTTGGAAGTAATGTCTATATATATAAATTACCAAGTGATATCAGAATATTTATTGAAAATTCAATGTCTAACTGGAAAACCAGAATGTGTCTCTACCACGACAAAAATTTGTTAATCACAGACACTATACAAATAAAAAGAGGAATTTTTCAAGGAGACTCACTTTCACCATTGTTATTTTGCATGTCTTTATTTCCACTTACTGGTATCCTTAACAAGCAGATGTTAGGTTATAAAATATTTGATCAATGTGTTGGCCATTTCCTGTACATGGATGATCTGAAACTATTCATGCCAAACGAAGATCAACTAAGAAGAGCACTACTGATTGTGAAAAACTTTAGTACAGATATACAAATGATGTTTGGAATAGAGAAATGTGCCACCAGAGAAATAAGGAAGGGGACAGTGATGCTAAATGATGGTGTTGATGTTGGTCCTGAAACTCATATCAGAGGTGTTGATGTAGAGGAGACGTACAGATACCTGGGAATGGAAGAGGTGGGAGGAATTCAACAGCAAATGATGAAGTAACAGATAAAAAAAGAGTATAACAATAGAATAAGATCCATATTAAAGACCCAGTTGTATGCCAAAAATAAAGTGATAGCCATTAACAGCCTAGCAATCCCGGTTATGACTTACAGTTATGGTATTCTTGAATGGCGGAGATCCGAACTGCAAGCGATAGATAGAAAAACAAGAAAATTACTCACAATGGGAGGAGCACACCACCCAAATGCAGATGTCGACCGACTATATATTAGCAGGAAAGATGGTGGAAGAGGCATTATTGGAATTGAAGATTCATTTGAAAAATCTCTGATAAATCTCAACTCTTATATTCAAACAAAACAAGATAA